CTATCAATCCAGCATCGAAGTATGTTTTCAAAAGAACTGGCTGAGTGTTTTTAAGAATATGCCAGTCACCAAGGAAAGGTAAGACCCACGCAAGTTCATCTGTATATTCTCAATTTTTAACTTTAACAGATCATACATTTTGGCATCACCGACAGTTATAATAAGACTGCAGTTTAAATTTTAACCTAAAGTTTCATGAATTTTTAAGCTATATTGGGACATATTTGACAAGTGTCCGACCTTCTCTTTTTTGGAGGAGGGGGTTTGACATATTTGCATTCTAAACAAATATTACAACTGGGACAGAGACGGTCCAAGGGTCCTAAGCTATGATTGTCTTGTAACCAACTTAAAATATCCACTGGCTTGTTCATTTTATGATACTATCTGTTTGCCGTCTTAATTCCACATTTGGCACACTCTTGATAAAATTTTTCAAGGATGGGTTTTTGGTTTCAATTTGCATGACATGGTACAATGTAGTTCACAAAGTTTATGACAAAATTAGGATTAAATTTGTTTATTAATATAACATGCCAAGTTATAGTCCGAGATTACCCTGACGTTCAACGGCTGTTTTGCCAGACAAGCTGGGGTCGTGCTTGTCTGACAAAACAGCCGTTGGACGTCAGAGTAATCTCGGACTAGCCAAGTTATTCTAAAAAAGCTCCTTGCATGCTACCCGCCTGATTTGCAAACTTTTATCAGAGTCGGATTAGGGGGGGGGGGCAGTGTTCCCGGCCCCCCTTTTGTGGTTGATTATATAGGAAATCACTGAAACATGACTGGAGCGGGCCCCCTCTTAGGCAGTCAGTGGGCACCCCCTTATGAAAATTTCTGGATCCGCCACTGTTTATACTTTAATATGAACGTTAAAGATTTAACATGCGGACTTCTAAATCAACACCGGCAAAAGTTGTTCAATTTTACGCAAAGAAAAATTAATGCATTTTGGTCGAGCCTGCGACTTTTGTCGCAGAAAGCTCGACATAGGGATAGTGGTCCGGAGGCGGCGGCGGAGGCGTTAGCTAACTTCTTAAAAGCTTTATAGTTTAGAAGCTAGAAGACCTGGATGTTTCATACTTTGTATATAATAGATGCCTTATGTTACGAAGTTTCCGTCTGTCATATGTCCATTGTCCTTGACCTCATTTTCATGGTTCAGTGACTACTTGAAAAAAAAGTCAACATTTTTTGTAATGTTAATTTCTTTCTTATTATGGGTAATAGGATAACTATATTTAGTATGTGCGTACCTTGCAAGGTCCTCATGCCCGTCAGACAATTTTCATTTGACCTCCACCTCATTTCATGGATCAGTGAACAAGGTTAAGTTTTCGTGGTCAAGTCCATATATCAGATACTATAAGCAGTAGGTCTACTATATTTGGTATATGGAATGATTGTAAGGTGTACATGTCCAACTGGTAGGTATCATCTGACCTTGACCTCATTTTCATGGTTCAGTGGTCAAAGTTAAGTTTTGAGTTTTGGTCTTTTTTTCAAATACTATATGCAATAGGTCAACTATATTTGGTGTATGGAAGTATTTTATGATGTACATGTCAGTCTAGCAGGTTTTATTTGACCTTGACCTCATTTTCACAGTTCATTTCTCAGTTTTAAGTTTTTGTATTTTGGTCTGTTTTTCTTCAACTATAAGCAATAGATCAACTATATTTGTTGTATGGAAAGATTGTAAGGTGTATATGTCTGTCTGGCAGGTATCATCTGACCTTGACCTTGTTTTCATGGTTCATTGGTAATGTTAAGTTTTCATGGTTTAGTTTGTTTCTTAGATACTATAAGCAATAGGTCAACTATATTTAATTCATAAATTGATTGTAAGGTGTACATGTCTGTCTGACATGGTTCATCTGACCTTGACCTCATTTTCATGGTTCATTAGTCAATGTTAAGTTTTCTTAGTTAAGACTGTTTCTTAGAAACTATAAGCAATAGGTCAACTATGTTTGGTTTATTGAATGATTGTAAGCTGTACATGTATTTCTCGTTTGGTTTATCTGACCTTGACCTCATTTTCTTGGATCATGTTAAATTTATGTGTTACTTGTAGTAAAGCTTTATAGTTAGGACTATCAACATAAAGTCAATGGTTAGTAAAGAAGGCGAGACATTTCAGCGTGTGCACTCTTGTTAATTTTATGGATATTTTTTTCTTTTGCACACACTCCAACATATTACATGAACTGACAATAAACATACATCAAAGTTAGAGAATTGAGTATATTTATATCCAAGAAATACCAAATAAAAACACTTATGATATAAGAACAAAGACAAATAATTTGTTTTACACAAAGTTACAAACTATTGCGTAGTGTGTACGTATTTCAATTTTCATTTTTTTCCACAGATTTGAATTCAATGATAGATGTAGCATGCACATCATAAAAGTGCAAAGTCTATGTTTTTTAACACACGTGGTTACTTTGGATCACATGTTTTTCAAACATAATATGTCATTTATACTATGATGATTTCTTTGAATTGTTTTAAATACACTTCACATTAGGTAAAAATAAAAAAATATAAGATTTTCTGGCCTAGCGCCAATAATAATTTGTCACGCATATTGATTACAAAATTATCGAGTTGTCCCAACGATACACTTGTCGGTATGCTCGATCATACAAATTTACCGACATTCATAGACAAAATGACACAACTTTCAAAAATTCTTGTGGCGAAACTACATTTTGGAACACGTTAAAAATTGGATCCTCATAAAGCTACATTATTAAGGTTTGATATATATTTAAAAAAAAAAAGAAAAGAAGAAAAATATGCAGTCAAGATTGGAAGTTTTTAAGACACCCTATGTTGAGCAATACATTGTTCAATTAACAGCACGTTTGGCAACTAAAAAATCATATATTAATAAATTCAGCTTTAAAATATACTTTATTTATAGTGTTTGTATAAAAGTTATTTCATGGTTTTGTGTTATAAGAGATATTCATCCCTATGCATATCGAGTTTTATGTGTTAATTTTTTTTTACCTTTTCTATCTCTTTCATAAGAAGAGTCACTTTTCTATTGTTCTAGTGTCACTGGAAATCCCACTGCTAGTGATACAGTAGATGACTTACTTAGACCACTCGGCAGCAGGTCCCTTTAGTTATGCGTTATATTTCTCATTAATTATGATTAATAGAATAACTATATTTGGTAAAGGGGATCCTTGCAAGGTTTTACTATAGGTCCGTCAGACAGGCCCTAGGGTTCACCAGACCTTGACCTCATTTCAGTGATCAGTTATCAAGGTTAAAGTTACTTGATAAGGTCTGTTTCTCATATACTATAAGCTCTAAGTAAACTACATTCGGTGTATGGAATGATTTTCGTGTTTTGGTCTGTTTCTCATTTAATATAAGAAATAAGTCAACAACTACATTTGGTGTATGGAATGATTGTAAGGTTTACATGACTGTCTAGCAGGTATTATTTATCCTTGACCCTATTTTCATGGATCATTGGTCAATGTTAATTGTTTCCGTAGTTTGTTCCTTTCCTGAGATACTTTGAGTAATAGGTCAACTATAGTCGGTGTATGGAATGAGTGTAAGGGTACATATCTGTCTGGCAGAGTTCACGTGAATTTGACCTCATGTTCATGGTTTATTGGTCAATTTAAAGTATTCCTGGTTTTTGTTTCTCAGATACCTGTAGTATAAAACGTAGGTAAGCTATATGTGGTGCATGGAATGTTTTTAAGGTGTACATGTCTGTCTGGTAGGTACATTTGTATAACCTGAACGTGACTTCATTTTCATGGTTCTTTGGTGAATGATAAGTTGTGTGGTTTGGGCTGTTTCTCAGATAATATAAGCATATAGGACAACTCTATTTGGTGTGTAGAATGATTGTTATGTGTAAATGTTTGTCTGACAGGATTTATTTGACCTTGACCTCATTGTCTTGGTTAATTGGTCAATGTTAAGTTTTCGTGTATAGGTCAGTTTCTCGGATACCATAAGCAGTAGGTCAACTATATTTTGTGTATGGGTAAGGGAGCTACCATTTGATTTTTATGAGGGGGGGGGGGGGGGGGAGGCTAGGATTTAATTTGAAAAAAAAGTCAGGACAGGAGTTTTGAGTAAAAAAAAAAGGCAGGACGAGACACCTTTCAAAAAAAAAAAGGCAAGGTGACAATTTATGTAAAAAAAAGTCAGAATAAACTAATAAAAAAAGGCTGGACCGAATAGAGTGAAAATAAAAAGGCAGGACAGACATTACAACTAAAAAAAATGCAGGACAAAATTTTCATCCTATGGATCATTGATAATGTAAGTTTTATGTGATACTTGTGAGTAAAACATTCTAATTTTCAAAATTCTAATTTTCATCGTTCAATTTTTAAAATTTAACATTCATTTTTTAACATTCAACAATCAATGTTCAACTTTCAACTTTCGATATTAATATTAATCATTTGTTTTTCAACATTCAACATTCGATATCAACATTAAACATTTGTTTTTTGACATTCAATATTAGATTTCAACATTCAAATTTTCAACATTTTTTTTACAATGATCAATTGTCAACATTGACCTTTGAATCGACTATTTGCTATTCAAAATTCGATTTAAACATTTTACCAATCTGATTAAAATGCAGAGCCCGTGTCCAAGCTTTGCTTACAAGTATCGACAAAGTTCCGTTTTCCTTTAATTTCTGTTCTGGTGAATATTACATCAGCCAATGCAATTTCAGCCTTCAAATCCGACAAAACCAGATGATCCCGATTGACATATCTGGATTTTGCAAATTTATGTTTAACATTCAGCATTCAATTTTTCATGTCTATCCTATTACGCTTTATGATTTTTGACTGTTTCTTTGGGATCTTTTATTTTAATTTTTGCCATAACTTCAATCATCACCAATATGCTTTTTTCTCACTGAAATACGTTCTTCTTGTATCGACATATTTCTAAAAATAATATATTTATTGTAAAGTAATTTATTTTAGGACAGGCCGGAGGTAATCATTATATGGCCAAAGGAGGCGGTGTCAATTACCTGTGTCTACCAAATGATCCAGAAAATGGAGAATTCAATTCGTATGGAAATGACCAGATATATGGTAGTGAATACGAGATCTCGTATGCATTCACACCAACAGGATGGCCTAAAAGTATCCACAATAAGGAGGTACCTTGTTCAGTCTGCTTCCGGAAACATAAATCCGCCATGATAATGATTCCAGGTATTTTGTAGATTTAAAATATATAATTCAATTTCCCTTTAGTGCTTCACTCTGTAAAATACAAACCTGTCGTGGTACATGGCAGGGAAGTCATGATAGGGAAATCGACTTTGTAGTGTGTCTTATAAGAGAAAAAGAACAATTAATTTTTAGTGAAAAGTTGAAAATAATGTGTTCCAATAGAAATGCTGATCCTATGCCAAAAAGCTCACCTAACAAATCAAATATTTAGACGCTATTAAAAGATTGACAATAAACTGATACAATTATGTACGTCAACATTTGGCGTTCTATGATGGCTATTAGCCATTGGCAATTGTACTACATCTTTAAATTCTCTATATAACAGAATCGTAAATCAAACTACATTGTATGTACGATATATCGACCTTTTGACTATTGCTGCTATTTGTTGATGTTTTAGGTCGGAAGACATGCTACAGAGGTTGGAATACAGAGTATCATGGATACTTGATGAGTGACCATGTCTCTCATGTCAGGGTCGACTATGCCTGTGTTGACAGAAATCCAGAACCGATGGACACTTCAAATACTATAAATGAGGATGGAGCTCTGTTATATACCATACGAGCAAAATGTGGGAGTTTGAAATGCCCACCGTACACCAATGGCGCAATTGTTCTTTGTTCTGTGTGCACAAAATAAAGGATAAAGAGAAATAAAGTCATCTGGATATGTGCCAAAAATATCAATATTCAGTGACACTAGTTAATTGATTGGGTAGTTTGTGGTGTTTATGCAATGTACAAATTGTCTGTGTTTGTTTTGATGTCTCTTTTCTGTTTTACTTTCGTGTTTCCAATATTGCTTTTTAGTTAACCGGGCACGAAAGGCCCCATTTGAGCTTATGCCATAACTTGGCGTCCGTCGTCTGTCGTCGTCCGTCGTCTGTCGTCTGCCGTCGTCGTCGTCCGTCGTCGTCGTCGTCCGTCGTCGTCGTAAACTATTTCAAGAATCTTCTCCTCTGAAACTTCTGGGCAAAATACCTTCAAACTTAAACTTAATGTTCCGTAGGGTATCTAGTTAATAAATTGTATCCGAAGTTTTGATCCATCAATAAACATGGCCGCTATGGCTAAAAATAGAACATAGGGGTCAAATGCAGTTTTTGGCTTATATCTCAAAAACTAAAGCACAAATCTGACATTGGGGAAAAAATGTTCAATAGGTCAAGATCTATCAGCCCTGAAATTTTCAGACGAATCGAACAACCCATTGTTGGGTTGCTGCCACTAAATTGGTAATTTTAAGGAAATTTTGCAGTTTTTGGTTGTTTTCTTGAATATTATTGAAGATAAAGATAAACTATAAACAGCAAAAATGTTCAGCAAAGATCTTCAAAAAAATTATTATGACCATAATTGTCAATTGACCCCTTAACGAGTTATTGCCTTTGAAACGTTTATTTTTTAAATTTTTTCGTGCAAGTCTATTAATTTTTCAAAAATCTCTTTCTCTGAAACCACTGGGCCAAATACTTCCAAACTTAAATGAATGTTCCTTAGGGTATTTAGTTTATAGATTGTATCCGAAGTTTTGATCCATCAACAAACATGGCCGCCATGGCTAAAAATAGAACATAGGGGGACAAAAGCGGTTTTTGGCTTATATCTCAAAAACTACAACAGTTAGAGCAAAAGTGAAAGGAAGTAAAAGTGATAAATGGGTCATGATCTGTCTGTTTTGAAATTTTCAGACAAGTTCGACAACCCATTGTTGGGTTACTGTTTTTGGTTATTTTCTTTAATATTATAATAGATAGAGAGAAAGTATAAATGGCAATAAATGTTCAGCTAAGTAAGATCTACAAATAAGTCTTCATGTTCAAAATAGTCAATTGAACCCTTGAGGAGTTATTGCCCTTAAAACGTTTTTTTTTTTACATTTTTTGTGAAAGTCTAATTACTTTTTCAAAAATCTTCTCTGAAACTACTAGGCCAAATACTTAAAAACTTTAATTGAATGTTCCTTAGGGTATCTAGTTTATAGATTGTATTCGGGGTTTTGATCCATTCAAAAACATGGCGGCAGTTACTAAAAATAGAACATAGGGGTCAAATGAAGTTTTTGGCTTTCATCTCAAAATTAAAGCAGTAAAAGCAAAACTGACATAGGTGAAAGTGTTAAACAGGTTTAGATCTACCTGTCAAGTAATCTTCAGAACAATTATACAACTTATTGTTGGGTTACTGTCCAGAAATAGTTAATTTTTAGGTACAATTTTGGGTTATGTATTATCTTTAATATACAGTCCGCCAACAGTTAAGCACCACCGAAATATAACTGGCAATATTTTTTTAACTTTTGCGAAAAAATTATAAATGTTTGGTGTTATGAATTGCCTTTAACATGCACTAAGAAAATGCATAACGACCAAAAAGATTGAACTCTGATAAACCCGACATGGTACTTTTTATTAAAGGTCTTCTGCACTTTTACAAATACACTGTTTCGATACCATTAAATCATCTTCCTACTGTATCGCGTACAGGTGAAATTTGACCTTCATCAAGTCATTGTGTAACATGGCAAGGCGTAAGTTATCTGTGACTGAACGTTGGCAAGCAATTGGCATGTCAAATGCCGGTAGGAGCACTAGGAGCATAGGTTACAATTTTAATGTTAATCACACCGTCATTGTCAGACTTTTACAACGGCATGTTGACACAGGAACTGTAAATGATAGACCAAGGTCCGGAAGACCCGTTTAACCACCCGTCGTGATGACAGACTGCTTATTCGTCGTGCCAAAGCCAACCCATTTACTCCTGACCCGCAGCTTAGAGACCACTGTCTTCCAGGTGGTCGTGTTAGTGTTCGAACATTGGTCCGTCGACTTCTTAGAGGCAACCTAAGAGCACGTCATGTTGTCAAGAGACCTGCCCTATCAGCCAGGAGCCGTATAAACAGGTTTCAATGGGCTAATGACCATCGACGCTGGAACATGAGAAGCTGGCAAAAAAATCATTGGTCAGATGAGAGTCGGTTTCTGTTACGACCAGTAGACGACAGAATACGAGTTTGGTGGGAAAATAAAACTACCTATGACCAAGACAACATTTGCCCAACGACTGCATTCGGTGCTGGTGGTGTTACAGTGTGGGGTTGCTTCTCATACCGTTGTAAGCTGGGTATTCATATTCTGCAGGGAAACATGAACGGGCAGACATACAGGGATGTGGTGCTTAGAAACATTGTAGTCCCTCATTTTGATAATCACCCACTTGCGTCAAGACCTTTGTACATGGACGACAACGCTAGACCACACAGGGCAAGGATTGTAACTGAATACAAAGAGCAAGAAGCCATTGACACTATCTTTTGGCCTTCCATATCTCCAGACATGAACCCTATCGAACATGTATGGGATGCCATCGGCAGAAATCTCAATCGCAGAGATCCACCTTTGCAAAATCTTGACGATTTAAGAGTGGCAATTGTTGATGAATGGAATAGATTTCCTCAACTAAAGTTCAGAAGGCTTGTACAGAGTATGTGACGCCGTGTTATGGAACTGTACCGGAAGAGAGGTGGTTACACATCCTATTGACTCAAATATTGACATTAAATTTGCCGAACATACCAAAGATTATTTGTAGAGAATTTTAATGATATTGGGTAATTAATTGTTGTAAAAAAAATCACAGTGAAACTTAAATCCGTTTCTGATTTGTGTAATTTGCACTATTTCTATGAACGCAAAATTTAAATGCATAGAACCTGCATAAGTGAACAATCTTAAGTTTATGGTTTGTTTAAGGCATATGTTAGCAAAATTGCTACATGAATGTTTTCTCTTTTTCGAGGAATAACTGATTTTTTTAAATGTAAAAATTTTCGATACAATAAAAGTAGGTGGTGCTTAACTTTTGGCAGACTGTATATTATTATAGAAAGAGAGAAAGTGTAAATGACAAAATTGTTCAGCAAAGTGAGATCTACAAATAAGTCAAATGCCTGAAACTGAAATTACAGGTGAGCGATATCAGGCTCTTATGAGCCTCTTGTTCCATAAAACTGACGAAAAATGATTTGACGAAATGCAAATGCAGTGCATCAGTGGTATTTAATGTTGTATTACTCTCATAAGGTCTATGTCAATGTGCGAGTCTCCTGGGGTAGCACTAACCCAATAGTGAGATATTTTATAGTCTTGTTTGATAAATTTAAAAATTTCGATATTTAAACGTGAAACGTTTTAAGTCGACAAGTTACTAGTAGTAGAATTATTTATGATGAGATTGGTTGGTAAACTCTAGCTGCACGAAAAGAAAGGAGGAAGTTACAATTATTTTATAGTATTCAACATAATAATGCACCAGCCTATCTTTGAAATTTAATTCCACCAACAATCCAAAGAACAGCTGTTTACCCCTTACGTAATGGGAATGATATACTATACCCTTTTTGTAAACTTTCATTGACCCACAAATCTTTTATACCTTCAACGATACGACTGTGGAGTAAACCTAATGTGTGTACACGCAACATTGACTCTTAAGGCAAATTTAAAACCGAAATAAAAAATATTAAACTGAATTCAAAAGCCCAAGTACCTAAACATTACGAATTTGGAAATTGTAAACTCAACATCATTTTTACTCAACATAGATGCTCAGCTTCTTTTTTTAATTTATGATCTTAACAGAGTCAATATCATTTCAGATCCGTCTTGTCGCTGTGGTGCTAAGCGTGAAGATTCATATCACTTCTTCTTTGTATGTCCCAATTATGCTAATATAAAAATCAAACTATCTAATAATCTGAACTGGTTACCAGAGAACTAAATTTGAACATCTTCACCTCCGGTAATTTTTGTTTAACTAATGATGAAAATAAAAGAATTTGAAAGAATGTATATGAATTTATTAAAGAGTCAAAGAGGTTTCTAAGTGTATAATATAGCACAATAAAGTGCATACATATGCATATTGTGTCCAACTATTCACATCATCACACATCATTTTTTTTTAATATCCAATATATATAATGTATTGTATTGTTTGCATGCATGCTTTGTAAATATTCTGTTGTTATAAATTGTTCATGGGAGAAGGAAGACTTTATAAGTTTGATTAACTTGTGTCTCATCCCTTTTGCATAGTTAAACAAATAAAATATGTTTAAACTAAGTCGACAAATGGAATATATACATCGTACGATCGAAATTTGTAGAATACTTTAGAAAACAGTGGATTATATGCTTTAAGTTCCAGCAAAATTATTTGAAAGAAGAGTATTGTCTGCATATGGATAAATTGGTGATTTTGTTTAAATAATCAGGAATTTTAGCAGTATAAAATGAAAAATTCAAGTGTTTTCTATGAATGAAATCTATGCTCTAACAATTTGCCTGTTCCATAACTTCAGTTTAAGAAACTTAATCGTTACCTAAAGGTAACCTAAAGGTAACCCTGTCTTTCAAATAATATATATATCTTAATGTTTTGTAAAAAATGAAAACAACACGTTATTAATTTCATGCGTCCGAAGCGCTTTTCTGGATGCACCTTCATCAGGAACACTCAAAGCCGAATATTTGAAAGCCGAGGATGAATAAGAACCGAAACAGTTGAAAATCTATTTGACCAAAAAATACATAAAAAAATAGCCAAATTCATCTAAGGTCAACTTTGCCTGAGGGAGTTGAAACCTTAGTTTCTTTATAATTTCAAAATTTATACACGGACAATTTTAGAAAGGTTTGTTATAAATCATGTCAGTACCGAAGTACTTACTACTGAGCTGATGATACCCTCGGTGACTGATAGTCCACCAACAGAGGTATCTACCCTGTGCTGTAAAAAATGAAAACAACACGTTATTATAGTATAAATGGACGAGAGCTTCATGTCGAATGGTTTGAGAGGAGTTACGTTCACAAAGTGTTGTCACAATACTCCAACAAAATGGTCAAAGTCCAATCAGTCCCGTAATAATTGTTCGGATAAAAATGACGGTATAATATGGTCAGTCTCTTGAGTATTTATGTATTTTTAAAGGACGGATTCAAAATATTACCATATCGTGCCGGGGAGAAAAATTTCTGTCGAATGGTATCATATAAGTTTTATTTAGGGGCTCGATCATTTATAACTAGATTTCTCCCAAATATCTATGCGAGTTGGCTCTGTTGAATTGATATATTCAAAGGCAAAAAAAAATGTATCACAAAATTCACACTCTCACATGATTTTTAGCGAACTATTAATACGTCATACTTTATTAGCTAAGTAACAAGAGATTTGTCGTTCCTACAATGACATCGGCATATAACTAAGTGTAACGAAAAAACAGATTTGTCAACTAAGCCTTACGTAGACTGGTTCCTGATCGCAATAGTCCGTATGTTACACATATACAAATATAACAGTGACAGTGTATGACTATCAGCTAATACATGGAACGTAGTCCTGGGAACCAGGATAGGCCTTACATTGTGTGCAATATTGCCACATTTGTTAAGAACCTAATATGACGCGCAGTTTTGATAATAGTTGTTTTTTAGGGGTAAACTTTTATGTTTTTCTTAAGAAGTTTTTTTTAAGTTTCTATGTCCTGTCAATTATCGAGACAACATAGTCGCATCGGTACTCCAGTTGTATTTGCTTTTATAAAATATCTTTTAGAAGTGACGAAGGGAGCAGACATCTTTAATTATTACTTTTGGATATATTTTAAAGTTGAACTTAATCTTTTCTCTCTCTAGATAGCTTACAAATACAAATATTTGAGTGTTTGTATCTGTCTAGTCCTTTACTTAACTTATGACTAGTTATACAGTACTGAACTTTAAAACAACCATCCAAGCAAATTAACGTTTTTTTTTTTTTTTTGATAAAATTAGTATCTTACTGATGTTTTGATCTCATAAATCAATCAAGACACCAATTAAGGTAACAAGCAAAATCTAAAGGAATCGCACGAACTTCAAAAGGAACAATTCCGGTTGTGTCGCAGGGCAAGCGTTCCCTCTGTGCATAATGCATAACCCGTCCTGCGAATACACACTCAGTCAAAATGTAACAATCGGTAATAAGACACAATCGATGAGATACATGTAACAGATTGAAACTGAATATTTTTAACATTGCTGGTATTTTATCTTCTGTACATAGGTAATTCATCAAGTCCACCTTATTTATTGCAACTATCGTTTAGGCCTTTTGTTACAGTAAAATCTACATATTTAACTATCATTCCAGAAAATTTTATAGTAATGAATTGGAGACGCACTCCTTTCTGATGATTGTTCATGCTCTGCAACGAGTCTACTGCAATTATTGTCTATTTCTGCCTGGCTGATCTTTGGTATTGCAATGTCAGGTTGTGTTAATTCAGCTTCTTGTGAATTTCTGCCATCAACTGTTACATATAAATAAGAATGCAGAACATAATCAAACTGACCGGTTTCTACAGTCATTTCACAAGAAAAGATACAGTAATAATAATATGAGAAAAAAAAAAAACAATAAAGCAAAGACAATTTATTCTGATAAACAGAAAAAGGAAGGACAGTTTCTTTGAAAAATAAAAAAGAGCAAATATAATTATGTTCCCTTGACAAACAGAAAAAAAGCAAAAAACTGTTTCTGTTGAAAACCAATCAAACAAACATTCAAAAAACAGTTTCTTAAAAAAAGTCAACCAAGTAGAATCTATTGTAATGTATCAAAACAAACAAGCTGTTATACACATACAGACAATTGTTAAACATAAACAGCGAATAATGTTTTCTTTTGGACCCATACTCTGGTGGAAATGTAACAAAAATGACCAAATGAAAATATAAGTAAAATCATTTTGTGTTTCAAATAATCATCATACGGAATCGTAAAGTTATTAAAACAGTAAACAACTAGAACGATTTAAAAAAATTATATGTCGACAAATATGCAAGTTTCAATTTTTATGATCTCAAACGTATAAGATTCAGGCTTTCAAAACTGTCCATCAGGTATAATCGTACGCGTAGTCCCCCCAGACGCACGTGTTGTGCGTGTAACTGTATATTTGTAACACTATATATGCGTACGGTAATCCGTTTCATATCTTTTTTGTTCGCCAACCTTTTCCCCGATTGTGACCTACCGAAATTAGACTTATCAGCGGGTGTGTACTTACATGGGCAACACGATGGGTGCCACATTTGGAGCAGGGTCTGCTAACCCTTCCAGATCACACGAGATCATTCGCGGTTTTTGGTAGTGTTCGTGTTGCCTAGTCTTTAGTTTTCTATGTTGTGTTTTGTTTACTGTTGTTTGTCTTTTGGTCTTTTTCTTTTTTTGCCATGGCTTTGTCAGTCTATTTTTCGTTGATGAGTTTGAATGCCCTTTGGTATTTTTCGCCTCTCTTTTATTCATACTGAGCCAGTACCCAAGCGTTTTAACTATCAATTTCTTAACTCACCAACATCGCACAAGTGCTTCGGATCTAGCATGATTTAAAAGATACCTTTTGTTTGTTAATTTCCCGTTTATATTATTTACTTGCAACTTCCTCAGACCAAGTTAACCTTTTTATAGTTTTGGCTCTTCTATAAAACATTTAAGCCTTAATTAAAATGTATGCTTCCATACCGTTTTTTATTCTAGCTTTCCAAACCAAAGGTGCTTGTGTACATGAATTGAATTTGTTTTGTTGTTATAGTTTTCTCGTTTGAATATTGTTTTACATTAGTCATTTTGGGGCCTTTTTATAGCTTACTATGTGGTGTGGGTTTTGTTGAAGACCGTACATTGACTTATAATTGTTTACTTCTACGTCATTTGGTCTCTGGTGGAGAGTTTTCTTATTGGCAAACATACCGCATCTTCTTATTTTCATGAGACAAGCTTAGTAGTGTTAAGAATGTGGTATAAAAATAGAATATTCAGTGCAAACAAGGAAAAATATATCCAAATCATGTACCCAAGCGCTTGTGTTTCAAACTTTGGATCTCGAGTATACCTGATGAAGGTTACTTCCATTAACATGTGTAATGTGCATGGAAATCGGGATCATACGCCTCTTTCATAGTTAAGATCTTTTTGTTTGGATTTTACAAAACGTTTTATGTATTTGGCCTCTTATGTTGTTCGAATCACTTCTAGTGAAGGTCTTCACAGAAACAATTAAATAAACCAGGAAAATGCAACAAACGCAATCTGGTTAAAATACAGATCCGATGTCCACATATTGCTGACAATATTCTGACAACACTCCGTTCTACTTTCTGTTCTGGTAATTATTAAATCAGCCAATGAAACTGCATTTACAATTTTGAAGGTTTGTATCATTTAAAAACAAAACCAGAGGATCTCAAAGGTCTTTTGAACAGATAGTAGAACGGATGGTTTTCAGATCCTTGTAAATAAAGCCCGGACACACGGTCTGAATTTCAAGCATATTACACCAAACGTATATGTTAGAAAATCATACGACATGCAAGGTTACATACCAATATTCAGATAAGAATAATTTATAATTTCGGAAAAAATTGTAATTATTTACATAAAATAGCAAGGTAGTCTATAAGAGTCGGCAATTCTTATTGAATGCATTGTTTTAAGTGTTGTATTTTTATATTCATTATCTGGTTTAATTGCATGTCATTGGAATTTGTTTTTTTAATGCATTTAGGAGAAAACATCCATAAAACGAACTTCAATTGACTCATCAAAGACTGAATTGTGCAATAAATGTGATTTGAATGCGTATTTTTCTTCAAATATGTCCGTTGGAAAATCCGATTCTGTTGTTTTCGTTTATATTTGTTTTATTTCATTAACACGGGTACCACATGTGGAGCGGGAAATTCTTACCCTTTCAGAGGACCTGAGTTCACCCCGGTTTTTGGAGGGGATCGAGTTGCTCAATCTTTAGTTTATTTTCTATGTACTGTTTTGTGGACTTGATCATCTTTTCTTCGCGTTTCCTTATTTTGCCATGGCTTAGTTAGTTTTTTCTTCGACATTATTAGTTTTGAATATCCCCTTGGTATCTTCCGTTTTTTTTTATTCATTATTTCTTAAAGCAGACTAAACGGTATGGGTTTTTCTCATTGGTGAAGGCCGTACGGTTGCCTATAATGGCTTACATCCACTTTATTTGAACTTTGGTGGATAGTTGTCTCATTGGCAATCATCAAAATTAACATAAAACAGATTACTTGTATCAAGACTTTGAAATGAAAAAAAATGATTGAATGATAAATATATGTATTTTACTGACATGATATAACATAAGAAGATAGATACATAATGTACAATTATATAAATAAAAGGCTGTAATATATAGAATAAATCAACACACACCATGACACACAACTGAAACTTGAACAAAACAACTTAAAGTGATAATGTTAGGTTATTCAGACGATTAAGTCTATTTTATTGGTAGAATAAACTTCTATTAGGCGATGAGATTAGTGATGTATGGATGTCTAGACTAAAATAATAAAAGTTAACTTATTATTTTCATTTATTGACATTAAATTTTTTTACCTTCCATATCTGTACCCGAATACCGATAATTCAAAAAAAATATATAAGCAAATACAACTGTTGAGGAATGAAATGGATGAACATACACAGTAACTACTCGGTGGTTTTAAAGAAAAAATAATTAAATATATCATCTGTAGTATTATCATATATACATGTATATGCTGAATTCTGACATTAATAGTATGTTTTATTCGTAAAATAGAGGATACAATACCACTGTTTCTATGATTTTGAATCAGTTCTTTATATATAGTCGATCTTTTGTTTGCTTTTAAGAGTAAACACATTTAAGTCTCATATCACACTATGCTTTAAATCTGCTTCGAAGTCCTCGTGATTAATAGTAGAAGCTTTAGATAATAGATGAACATTTTCCTTACTTTTAGTTTTAGTATATATCGTTATTGGAATATCATCTTCATCTTCTTCATCCGAAAGTAAGTCACTTCCCGATTGTTGATTCTGTACAAAGAAAATTGAAGCTGCTGTAGGAATAAGTGGTTTATATAAACTTATATATTTGTAAACATATCCTGTCGATAACAGACTTCAGAATAGACTCCCTTACTACATAGTATTCATGCTAAGAAAAGGGGCATATAATCAAGAAATCAAAATAAAAAAAAAACATTTTTATCAATATCCCGTTATTTGTTTCCGTGGATTTATAAAATACTGATCCAGTGTATGGTTTTTCATTTGGATTTTTATTGTCTTTTTGAAAAGTAAAATATTACAGACTTGATTCTGAAAAAAATAATATGGTATTTTTTAAATCTATGCCAGTCAAAGTTGTCAACTTTTGCTACTCTGCACATTATTGTGGCCACATTGTTTCCTTTACGTACTAGCGAGTTCGACGATCGACTTTTTAAATTAAATGTTTGTCATGTAACAGTTAATTATATTTTTGCAGTTATTAAGTCCTCCTTAGTTGTTTTATCAAACATAAAAGTTTTACAATTCAAATGACACGTTTTATGTCAAAATTCCATACATCTAATTAACTTTGATGGTTATTTTCCAGTAGAAACAACTTGCAGATCCAATAAAACTCATCAAAGCTATCGACATTCATATTCTTTAAACCCACACAAAAATACAACAATATTTACTAAATTAACAGTTGTGTATAGTTCCGGTATATTGACAAAATAGGTCGAGCAACCCGAACAGACATTATTGGTAAACGTGACAATAATTGGGATCCAGCAGCCAAAATTGTCAAAACATACATCACAGACATACAACACAACTGACTTAAAAATGCAAGGACATTTTTTTTTTAAATAAATAAACATACTAAACAACTGTTAATTAAAAAACGTCCACAAAACAGTGGACGTATAATGTATATATATACATTTGTTTTTCGTTCATTATTTTGTACATAAATCAGGGCGTTAGTTTTCTCGTTTGAATTGTTTTACATTTGTCATTTCGGGGCCTTTTATAGCTGACTATGCGGTATGGGCTTTGCTCATTGCTGAATGCCGTACGGTGACCTATAGTTTCTGTGTCCTTTGGTCTCTTGTGGAGAGTTGTCTCCTTGGCAATCATACCACATCTTCTTTTTTAAGATAAATCAGGTAAATATACTCACTAAGTTCATTTTCTTCTGTTAATCTCTATGTATTTGATTTCTATAATGTTTTTTTGTCCTTAATGTTTTGTTTCTGTTCAGTTTTTGTTTGTTGGTGATAGAGAATTAAGAGTTTTCAGGTATATGATGATAAAGAAAATAGCGTAAGATTCTTGGAAAATTTAATTTCGACCAATCATATTAAATGATCAAAAACCTGAGAGATATAATCGCATGACTTACATATTTCCATAGCTGGTTGCAGTTAAAACATCTTAGAAAAAATGCCGGTAAACAGCAACAAAGTTTTTCTGACACTGGATAGATATAACGTGAATTTATCTTCCCTTTTCTCCATCCTATGGCAATTGAAATGTCAACAGTTTAGGTTCTATTTACATGTGTAAGATAGTAATTATTTGACAAAACATACAATTAAGCATTTAAAAAAGTCATATGCAAAATTCAATTTTTTTTTTTAAATTTTCTGCCGAGTTTTATGTTCTGATGTCCGTTCTTCTCTTTTTTGGTGGGGGTTAGGGCAATTTGTTTGGCGTCTGTCTTCGATTTATCGATTTTTATCATTTTCTGATATATTATCATCTTTCTGAATTGTTGTTTTTATCAGAATTAAAAAGAAGAACAAGCAACAAAAATGAAAACATACTTTCATTTTAGGGGGTATTTCCATTATTCAAGAAGAACAATTTTGAGTTTCTATGTATTTTGTATTACAAATGTGTTCATCATATGTAATGCACTGGTTCTATCTTTCATTTTAGATCTTTCTCGAAATCATAATCCATTCTATTAATATCAAGATATGAAAATCGAAATATTGAGGACAGGGGAACCAATAGGTGCCACATGTGGAAGAGGATCTGCTCACCCTTCCGGAGCACCTTGTATAACACCCGGTTTTTTGGTGAGGTTCGTGATTCGTTTGCCACTATATCCGTTTGGTATCATCCTACTTAATTATCGGACGTTAAGCAATCAACCTTGAATCAATCAATCTTACTCAACTATCAATTTAAAAAAGTCATGAATGCAAAACAATTAAATTGAATAAATAAGAAATTGTAAAAATACAGTTGCAAACAATATAAATTCAACCAACATACTAAAATCATAAACTTATTTATCATAACATTAAACAACAAGCAAGGTAAGAAAGAAAAAAAATATTTGATCTTAAAACAATAAGAATAAGTGCGATGATCTTTCTAAACCTTAAGTTACAAAACAATATTGGAAGAAAAAATATATTTCTTATTGACGTTAAGAACATATCTCTGGTACTTATTTGTCTTCCAGTTCGTATGGGTTAGAAAGTTCACAATCATAATTATCATATTAAAAGCATGGTCATCATTGATGAATATTTAAGTGTTAAAGCATGCCAACCTGTTGCCCAACTAATAAGTATTCCAAACACAATTGAGATACAAACAGCAACTGTTGGATACCATAGAAACGACAGCTGATATATTATCTTATATCCGGACCTAGTCAATAAAACGATACAAGTTAATTCTCAGTTCATGTGATATTTGTTCATCAAATAAGATACATGAAAAATATAAACTTTTGAAACATGCGGTATTAAAAATCAATCAATTAATCTGATTTTACTAATTTAACATTGTTAAAAAAGGAGACTTCAATTTTATGTATTCGCATCATCCTAATTTTTATATGCAATTATACTTGCAAACATGTTTAACCCCGCCACATTCTGAATGTGCCTGTCCCAAGTCAGGAGCCTGTAATTCAGTGGTATTGTTTTCTTCATAAATCAGACCGTTTGTTTTCTCGTTTGAATTGTTTTACGTTTATCATTTCGGAACTTTTTATAGCTCACTATACGGTTTGAGTTTTGTTTATTGTTGAAGGTCGTATGGCAACATATAGTTGTAAACTTCTAGGCTATTTGGTCTTTTGGAGAGTTGTCTCATTGGCAATCAGATCACATCCCCTTAAATTTATTTTTATGAACGAAAGCATACTACAATAACAGTACGGCTTGCAAGTCAAATGTTAAAGGCATGTAAGTAATGAACACGGAAAAGGAATGTATAATACAAGGTCTTATTTTGCAAAATTAGTGAAAGGTTTCAATCCTTTAATAATTATGTAAGCTTTATTGATAAATGTCAATGTTGCGTTTTAAACATGTTGAAAAAGACCAATTTGACCTGAAATAACCACTTTACACACAGTATTTCCAATACCGAATTTTAATCAAGGGTTTACCCAATAAGGTATTTTACTCGCATCTTTATATAAAACATCTTGTGGTAACATATCTTTTAGAGTGAGATATTGACTCATATGTAAACATTCATGACAAGATGCTAAATGGGGCTATTTTGCTATCTTGCAATTTTTCAGTTTTGTATTAAAAGCAAGAATTTTAAAGCAAATATTAAGACACAATTAGAAAATACAAGTATTGATTTCTGACAGACTTATGTCGTGGAAACATCTAAGAAATAATAAGAAGGATTTAAGAACGAACCAATAATAAAAATAAGATAATATTTATGTATATGGAACATGCAGCTGTTACTAGTTTTAATTTTTCATGAGAATCGTGTATCTTATTAACTTTTTACATATTTATAGAATAAGCTTCATCTGAGGCGCTCATTAGCAAACGTTTGGGATATCCATACAATGTTTAAAAACAATTAACAAAGGACTAAACAGATCAGCCAAAATTGCCCTACGTCCATTTGGCCTGAGGATGTCAGAATCTTTACTAAGTACAGTTAACTGAAAATTTACAAAATGAGCATGATGAATGTATAATTCCAACCATGGTAGTACCGAAACATAAGCAGAAACACTGGTTATTAGTTAATTGCCAGGTTAATACTGACACGGGCCTCATCAGACAATCAGCAGTGTTTTTAGGTGAATAACAGAGGTCATCAACCTATTTAGATAATTAAACTTACTTGAAATTGCAATAAAATATCGCATTGAAACAAACATTTGTATATGCAATATTCAGTAAAATAGCTATTTATTTTCATGACCAATTGCTCAGTATATAGGGTAGGAATCATACATCTGGTTAACATATTAGTTACATATATGCGAATATTTAATGCATAACAATCAACATTGTGATTTTGAGATATTTAACATTCTTACACATGAAAAGATACTTTCTATTATAAAATCTCGATTTGATTGTCTTTAAGTTTTAACTCATAAAAAAAATATAAGATGTTTACCAGTCCACAGAATGATCTGTTACAAGCTCAGTTACAATATCAGGTTTACTTGTCGCACTAAAATCTACCACGTGCGATGTAAATTGGTTAAACAAATCATTTATTTGGTCTTTAACATCACACCCATCTGTTCGGAAAGGTAATTCTGGTAATGGAGCTTGATAAACAAATGCCCCAGCGACGATCCAGAATATTACTATTGATCCAATTATAGTCCCTACAGTCGCTCCCTGAAAGCAAAATTTATATTAAATTTAATAATTTAAATGTATAACAATTTAACATATCTAGATCTTTTTTTATTCTGGACGACCCAGCCTTGTAAGGATCGTATTCAGATTACAAAAACAACTTTCTTAATTTCAATGTTTACTTCGAGAATGATTTTAGATTAAATCAATAATACAGCACATTCATCTGTGCAAATACAAAACTAAAACAAAAACAACTTTTCAACAAAAAAATAAATAATTCCTTTTGATTGTTTAAAAATCTACAGACATACCCAAAATACATATCTTTAAAATTTATCACCAAAATACACAAACTATATTTTTGAATACCTGTGCATTTGTTATATTAGATAATTATATGTTATAATCTTGATGGTAAGTTTCTTAATTGATATTTTCTGACATGTTATATAATTTTTTAAGTATGCAAAACTGTATGTTTATTACTAATACATACTAACAGCTTTATAAATATTATATTACGAATGTTAAAGAGGCCGGGATAAGTTACCGGTACTTGATGTTTTTCAACTAACAAATGAACAGATTTCCATAAAATACGAAACATTAAATTTTTTTTTTAAATAATACAGTACATTGTAGGTCTGAGTCACGCACATTGTTTGTGCTCTCTAAACCCTTTTAACAATACAAAATATTTTATCCCTATTGTTTCACATTTTATTCAAACAAAACAAAATTACCTTTCACAGTTACATCATATACTTTTGTTCTTGATTTGGGAGTTTAAAGCCTAAATGTTTAGTATCATGTATTTGTTTTTCACTGGTTATTTTGGGCTGAGAATTGAAAACTTATTTCCTTAGCACCAAGTTTGGTAGCCTTTGGAATTGTAAATAATGAAATTTGGATTAGTGAAAGCTAGTATAAATCAACTCTTGCTGGCAATAACAAACATTTTACTTTGATTGATACTAGAAGTATTGTTTTGTCCCATCTTAGAAATTAATGAAAATCTAAAGTTCCTTCTTCCCTTCTCTTTTGACACTACGATTTTACGATGAGTCGTCAATGATTTCATTTATTTATATTTTGTTAACATAAAATTCCATATTCTCTATCATGTACGAATGTGAGCATGCAAATACGATTCAAAAGTCCATATCACAAATACTTCAATCTCATATTGTGTCATCGATCAACTGAATGGTTTAATTAATATTTTAGAAATTAAACTCACCACTGCATTCACACATGGCATAAACATTCCCATGATAAACAATGCCAAAAGTGGTCCACCAGCCATACCCAACACTGTTATCATAATCTAACAATATAAACGTGTTTGCTTTATAAAAGAAAAAGGCCTAATATATAGAGAATGTTATGTGATAACTCTTGTTGCTAACGTGCATTATAATTCACAAGAAGATACCTTAAATGGTAATTGGATTGAATACTCTGTTTTTATTTTAACATTGCATTTGAAATCGTGTTTAAATTAATTTTGCGTCATGTCAAATTTTCAATACCTATCAGTCAGACACGAAGAAAATCACACACACGGAATAAAACACTATAAAAGTAGACTAAAATGAATATATTTCATGGCATATTCACATGTTAACTTTTTTTACTTAGAACATCAAACACCTACCCCAAAGAGTACACTTAACACGGTAAATCACGACTTAAGCCTTACCATAGAAATATTATGTATCTAATTATTTTATAGAGTTATTGATAAATATTTCCCACAAACTACAAATCTTGTAAATAGACATACAACTTAAAAAGGCGAAAGTACCTGCAAGACAGTAGTTCCCAGAAAGTAACACAGAAAAGCTAGTCCAATAACAAGAAGTCCACCGAGTACACCTGAAATGATAAATGTATGTTATATATAGGTATATTTAAAAGTTTATCATTCATATGCTCTATTATACGAACAAATATATTTTTAGTTGATTTTCAATGTTACATTAAAGTTTCAGCGCCATTTCTCATTCTAACATAGTTTGCCATATGCAGAGATACATCTCGATTTTTGTATGTAATTGGAATGCTGTTTCATTGACAAATACATCGAATCTATTTTACTCTTATATTATATTCATCATGTCAGAAAAATACTAATTCTACAACAGGGCTTTTGAAGACTCTGACTTCTGACTTTTGCTGCAATAAAGTATAATTTTAAACAATCTTCTATAAAACGTATTCACCATAGAAAAGGTTGATCGTTACAGTATCTCAATTCAAATTTGACATTCTAACTATGTTGTATACCCTTTTTATCTTCAATAGTTTATCTTCCGTTATCAACGGTGTTTGTTTATATTTCCTAGTTTTGACTAGTAAGTTGACTTTCACCTTGTATGATAGCAGGATATACTTTTCCAGTTTACGTACCTTGTTTCATTTCGTTTGGTGTTCATACTTTACCAATCATTTTCAATCCCATATTTGACAGTATTTATACCTTGAAATGATACATGTATTTTAAGAAAAAATCGTCATGATAACTTTTAGTTTTGCGTTGTTTTAATTAAACTTACCTAGCAGTTTTGCCAGTCTTGCCTCTGATTAAACTTACCTAACAGTTTTGCCAGTTTGGCCTCTGATTAAACTTACCTAGCAGTTTTGCCAGTCTGGCCTCTGATTAAACTTACCTAGCAGTTTTGCCAGTCTGGCCTCTGATTAAACTTACCTAGCAGTTTTGCCAGTCTGGCCTCTGATCTCTGTGACATTGTCACATCACAATAGTCCAGTGTAGGTTTGATCAAATCCTCAAGCACGGTAATGGATAAAGCATTTAAACACGATGAAATAGAGCTGCAATGTATTTAATTATATGCAATCATAACAACCCCAATTCAGCTGTGATTTGTTCAAAGTTTTATTGAAATAAAATGAGGAATAAAAATCGGTAAGAAAACCTACAAATAATGGTATGTGAATTCATAGGTGATTGCCAATTTGGTACCAGGTGAATGACTTGACACATGCAACACGTATATATGCTCTCTTGCGGATATAAAAATACTTACAATGGCATTTGACTATAAAATTTAATGCATGTTCAGAATTAGTACGTTTTTCCTTTGTTTAAATGTTTAATTATAAAAGACAGCTGTCTACTACAGTGATACGTTATCAGACAAAAATTCTGTTTGGTATCTCTCTTGAGTCTTGCCTCATATGAATTGTTTTACATCATTTCTCGGTTTATTGGAACGGTTGAGCGCCCACAAACACTTTACCGAACCATATTCTCATGCCCCAGTAGGTAAGCAGTCTGTAATCCTTTATGTTGTAGATTTCTGTCTGAAATAAATTGTTTTGTTTTTTTTATTTAAGAAAAAACTAAGCTGTTAGTTTTTTTTCCTTTTGAATTGTCACTTATTTTATCACCATTGGGCGTTGTATATCTTACTAGGTGGTATGAGTTTTGCTCATCGTTGAAGGCAATACGGTGACCTCTAGTTCTTCACATCCTTGTATTCTTATTCTTGTGGTATAGGCCATACCGCATATTCTTTTTTCTGTATTAATGGTATTACCTTAACGCGGCACTGAATATGCAAGCAACAAATAAGCCAGGAATACCATTGATTGTTCCGAGTGTCTCCATGACAAAATATGGCAACAGCTGAAATAAATAAACCGATAAACAAAATCAAACAGACAAAAATGTTAATCTTTTATCTTAATCTGATAACTGTTTGGTCAAGCTATGAAGATACATTTAATGTTACTTTCATTTTGGAAGAGCTCTAACATAACCTTAAAAATTCAGTCGTTTAGTTATCACCTGACTAACTTCGTCCGTCAATAACAGGTTTAGGATGCATCATTCATAAGGGTTAGATGCGCTACTATGGAATTTATAATATTCGTTTTCGACTGAAACTCATTTCTACTCAGTGATAAAAAGCGAGATATACGAGGAGATTCTTCTTCGTGTGTCGTTTTTGAAATTGTGCTCTTTCACGTTTGATTATAAAAAAATCTTGTGCTTTGTAAACAAAAATACGTTCTACAGGAATTAAACTTTTATCAACAAACAATACATTTAAAATATTTTCACATCTTTTCAGTAAATATTGAAGTATATGTTTCATCATAATAAGTAATCATAGTAAGCTCCCTTCAACAGCCACTGCTCTTTTTCTGCATATGAGCACGAGACAAGACTTAGGACTGAGGTCATATATTTCAGACTTTTCAAACCAGTTCGCATTGGAAAAGATGAAAAAGAGAAAAGATCTTTTCTTAAACTTTCCTTTGCCAACAAAGGTCTCGATGGCGTCAACATAGGCAATATCCTTCATCATAAATTAGTTCAGTCGAAAATACCACCTTATTTTAAAGATCAGTCTGTACCAATAACTTCTTATACCTATACCAAACCAATTGCAACTAAAATTTTCAATTACAAACACGTTTTGCAGGATCTCAACATTGACGACTTCAAGTCTAAACCTCTTGATTGCACCTGTGCTAGTTCCCAATTCACATATAATCCGGCTGGCCACGTTATTACCGGAGACCTCAACATTGTCAATAACACTTCCCTGCGAAATTTGTTATCCAAAGGTCCGAAATATCGTGAGCCTAAATCCATCAATTGAAAATACAACTTCAAAATACTGATGGATTCAGTCGAGGATTATGCCAGGCAATAGGCTAAACGCGAAAAGAAGACGTAGATACTCTTTCCGAATGGATTAAGGCTGTGAGGTCGTTGGTACAAATCCGAATTAAGAAACTAAATGGGCATATAAATACCCACGCTTCGTCAATTTTTAAAGACCCAAATGTTGCAAAACACTTGTCCTACTTCCATGACAAATATGTTGTTATCCCCGCAGATAAAGCCCCAAACAACATCGTTTTTGTGTGTAAATATCATTACATAGACTGCTTGATAAATGAATTAGGTATTGACAATTCACTTGGAACACAACATATATCCTCACGACTTTTACCAAAGAGGAAATCCTGGATAATCATAGGTCTGTTCTATGTTCCTTTGGAATTACAACCAAAGATGAAGAACTGGATCTTCCATCACTGTATTTGATTCCTAAACTACATAAGTGTCCTTACAAACAACGGTATATTGCTGGGTCTTCCAAGTGCTCCACGAAACCTCTTTCTAAATTGTTAACATCTATTTTATCAGCAATCAAAGCCGGGCTCCAAAGTTATTGTGAAACTGCCTATTCTAGAGATGGCGTGAATCAGATGTGGATACTAAAAAATTCCAAAGATCTTTTAGAGTACATACAAACTAAGACTCTCTCATCTTGCAATAGTATTAAAACATTTGACTTTTCTACACTTTACACAAGTATTCCCCATTCCAAACTAAAAGACAAATTGAAAGAGTTGGTATTACTTTGTTTCATTGAAAAGAATGGCGAACGTAGATACAAGTATCTTGTCTTGGGAAGGGATAAATCCTACTTTGTCAAGAATCACTCTGATTCAAACAAAAAATTCTCTGAAACTGACATTATCAAGATGCTTGATTTCTTGATTGACAACATATTTGTTACGTTTGGAGGACGTGTTTTTCAACAGACTGTCGGAATTCCAATGGGAACCAATTGTGCCCCTCTTCTTGCCGACTTGTTTCTTTATTATTATGAGGCTGACTTCATACAGGAACTTCTTAGGAAGAAAGATAAGAAGTTAGCAATATCCTTTAACTGTACGTTCCGCTATATAGATGATGTTCTCTCACTAAATAATACAAAATTTGGTGACTATGTTGAACGCATCTATCCCATCGAACTAGAGATAAAGGATACTACAGATACAGTTAAGTCTGCCTCATATCTTGACTTACTTCTAGAAATTGACAATGAGGGTCGGTTGAAAACAAAACTTTACGACAAAAGAGATGATTTCAGCTTCCCAATTGTGAACTTTCCATTTCTATGTAGCAACATTCCAGCAGCGCCTGCATACGGAGTATATATCTCCCAATTGATACGATATTCCCGGGCTATCATGATTTCCTTGATAGAGGATTGCTGCTCACAAGGAAGCTATTAAACCAAGAGTTCCAAATGGTGAAGTTGAAGTCATCCTTTCGTAAATTTTACGGACGCCATCACGAGATGGTTGACCGTTATGGAATAACCGTTTCACAGATGATATCGGATATGTTCCTTATGTCGTAACTACAATACCCTCCCTTTTCACGATTGTGACTTACAGAATTAGACTATTTACCGGATTTGTAATAACATAAGCAACACGACGGGTGCCACATGTGGAGCAGGATCTGCTTACCCTTCCGGAGCACCGGAGATCACCCCAGTTTTTGGTGGGGTTCGTGTTGCTTAGTCTTTGGTTTTCTATGTTGTGTCATCTGTACTATTATTTGTCTGTTTGTCTTTTTATTTTTGGCCATGGCGTTGTCAGTTTGTTTTTGATCTATGAGTTTGACTGTCCCTCTGGTATCTTTCGTCGCTCTTTCATCCTCTTTTGCAGAATAGAAAACTTTTAAAAGTTAAATTCGACTTATTTTAACTGCATGCGTATACATGGAGATATTAAGATTATGGTCAAGCAAATGCTGTAAATAACTATATATTCATTGTTTTGACATAGTTATTACTCTTGACTAGTACGTTTAAAAAAGCAGCATTTTGCTATTCTATACTTAGTAAATAATACTTAATCTTCGTGAAAATCATTTAAGTATGATAATAACATTAATGTTCCGTCGACTCATCTCGTTTTTTCATTTGCACAGAATTAGGGAAGCTGCATGCTCTTACCTGGTCTCTTGCTAAAATCTTTCCATCTAGCAATGGATCACAAGTAGCGTAAGCAGCATATATAACTAATCCACTGAGACATACTAGTGTAATCAGCAACATAGTGGCAGGAAGGCTGATAAATAATGCACTGCAAGAAAAAATAGTAAGATAACTTGAATGTATTATTTTAAATTTCATGTATAATGATAAATTTGTTATAACTATTCATGTTGTTAAATATGTTGTTTGAGTGTAAAAATAAAAGTTATTACAAAACAAATAGTAGTAGTAGTAGTGTTGTAGTTTAGTTTAAATAGTTTTTTTTATCAAAATAAATCAAATTAAATTGGGTAGCAAGCTAAGCATATGCAAGCCCAGTCAATACCACAAGATACAATATATAACATACAGATTAGACATCACATACACAAATATAATTTCAATACAAATCTATTCATTTTCAAAACTAAATCATAGATGACTGGCAAAATGAGTCAATAATTAAGAATACTATTAATAATAAGCTATATGAAACAAATTTGGATAAACGAGCACATGTGTAAATTCAGTATATATATATATAATTATGTACAAATGAAGCTGTTGATAATTGAGTTAAATAAATAAGGTGTTGTTATTGTTTCAATCATCATTTTGATTAACGAACGAAAACGTTGTTCCTTCCTTTCCTGTCTCGCTTCAAGAGCTCAAAGACCAGTGTGAAACATTAAAAATTAAAATGTGAAAATCTATTGGCAATACATACCGAAGATAAACTTGCCAAGAAGATTATTCAGTCACAAATACATGTTAACATTGATATGAACGTTTACATTTGTAATGATGGACAGAAGAAATTGGACATATAAATCATAATTCTTCCGTTTAACCAATGATATTATAATTTAATATACTATTATATGAATTTTTCTCACATTACATAGATTGTTTTAGTTCTTGCTGAATACTGACAAAACAAGTAAAACCCAGTCATATGTGTCTGCAGCAAGTCAGGAACATAGTTAGTTGCTTTTAAAATTTTCTAATGTTTTTGATTATTTAGGAAGCTAATATTTGAGGGATTTATAGTAGCCTGGGGACAATTTTGAGCTTGACAAATATGTCAAAAAATAATTGAGGGTCGTATTTTGTCCTTACGTTTTGTTTGTCGTTGTTGACATATTTGCTTGTTTTTGTAGTGATTAAGATTATAACACAATGTTGACTGCTGTACCCCTATTTTTGACATTTTTACCTATTATGTCTGTTTGTTTTGTTCACACATCGTTGTCAATATAATGGAATTTTATGCGACTGTCATACAAGTGAGACGTTTAGCTCGCTATAAAACCAGGTTTAATTCACCATTTTCTACATAAGAAAATGCCTGTACCAAGTCAGGAATATGACAGTTGTTATCCATTCGTTTGATGTGTTTGAGCTTTTGATTTTGCCATTTGCTTAGGGACTTTCCGTTTAGAATTTTCCTCGGAGTTCGGTATTTTTGTTATTTTACTTTTTAGATATTCTTGGTCGCCGTCATTTTCGCTTATTCCACATCCTTTATCCATATTTAAATAGAAGTAAGTTAATACTTATAGGTGGAAACAAAGTAAAATAACAATAATACCGAGTTCCAAGGAAAATTCAAAACGGAAAGTCCCTTATCAAATGACAAAATCAAAAGCTCAAACACATCAAACGAATGGAAAACAACTGTCATATTCCTGCCTTGGTACAGGCATTTTCTAATGTAGAAAATGGCGGATTAAACCTGGTTTTATAGCTAGCTGAACCTCTCACTTTTATTACAGTCGCATAAAATGCCATTATATTGACAACAATGTGTAAACAAATCAAACAGACATAATAGGTAAAAATGTAAAAAATTGGGGTACAGCAGTCAACATTGTGTTATAATCTTAATCACTATAAAAATAAACAACTATGTCAACAAAGAAAAACAAAATGGCATATAGACAAAGCAAATAGGAAAAATGAAAGACAAGAATGACCATAGCACAATAACACAATGGCGGGATGTATAAAAACCGAGCCACGCCAAAAGGAAGGTAAGTTAACTTGACATACAGAAAAGTTCGTTATTTACGTATTATCCTACATTGTACTTGTTGAAATTTCTTCCCTGTGATTGGTTCATAATAAAAGCAGAAAATGGTATAAGACGATTCTAGGGGGGGGGGGGTCAAAATCGTACGTCGGAGGTTGAACAACACTGCAAGTAAAAAAAGAGAAGAATAAGGCATAACAACAGGCAAAAACACTTCAAAGAAAACACAGACAAATTGAGTTCGAACAATAGAATCGCAAAGAAATCCAGGACGAGGCCACATGATCCAGAAGGGTAAGCCGGTAAAATATCCGTAGAAATTGTTGAAAAATGTATGGACGCTAATAATTTTTTATACTAACGTAATTTACTATCTTGATCTCCTACTTTCTTCGGATACATTTCAATTCAAGCAATTAACTTTTACATTGTCATAACCATAGCTATCTTCAACTAAAGGATTGTCGAAGGTAAGTACATTTTTATACAACTGCTTGTTGTTGGTACAGAAAGTTGTAGGACACGAAGTAACTGTTAAGCTTATGGTATGATAATAATTATTTTAAATTACTTACAGTTGTGAGCTTCTAACATTACTGATACTCATGTACCTCTGTAACATTGTTTGATTGGCACCATAGATAGTCAGCTGACCAATAAAACTTCCTACTATTAACCCCCAAAATGTGCACCGTACGAATGGACTAGGATCAAAACTGAAAATTAAATAAAACATCAGCACCTATAAATTTTGATGTATTCCATGAAACAAAGTAACCAAAATAAATCCCTACTAAAATTTAGACACATTCACTATATATATTCCATCAATACATTTAAAGATAAAAAATAAAACAACTCTGTCGCTCTTCTAAACACGGTTTTCTGTTGAATGTCAATTCATGTTTCTGGGCTCCCTTCACGATCACACATCTTTCGTAGATTTATTTGGAAATGATAATCTACAGCAACTATTTTATATATTCTAATGAAGCACATAAATGTTAATTCTTTTACACCATGTAAAGCATCATGTATTTTTAAAAGATGCATTCGATTTGTAGATCTATATCGTATAGTGTAGCTAATTTTTTAAAGTCATTAAAATAAAATGAAAATTATTATCAAACATAGTATTTATTATATCATATTATTTAAATAGCATGTGTTTTATCTAGCTATGAAAATTCATATACTAGTATCTGATGAATTGTTGTAAATGTACAACTTGTGTTGCACCAATTACATGTATGTTGCCGAGATTCGATACAAAACGATAAATGATATACTTCCTGGTAAAGAACTATAATATAATTGTGTTATATACATTATTCCATTGAAAGTGTTGTGAATATAGAGTTTTGTAATATGTTCTCTTCCAGTGGTATTTGATGTGCGAAAGTTTCACAAAAACTACTATTCTATCAGATGATTATCATATACAAATTCAATCTTAGACCATGTTGATTTTATCTATAAATCATTTGTAATAATACACAGAACAATGGTTGATGTAAAGTTGTTATTGGAATAAAACACAAATAATAATCCATGCAATGAACTTCATTTCCTTATCTTTTAAGTGAAAGCGTTACAATTTAGTTTAAACTTTAAAACTTTGTGGTTATACCATTGATTTGTATATTTATGTGTATAAGAAAACCTCTTTCAAATAAGTGCAATACACTTTCATTGCACAAACGCTTACTTGAAAAATTCAATTCTGTTTCCTTCCGATGCAATTCTCCAGACCTCTGCTAGTCCTCCCAATTTTGAGCTCCCTATAGAAATAATGCCAATAAGACCCCCAACAACAATGAATGTTTGGAAGGTATCTGTCCACAATACAGCCCGCAATCCTCCCTTAAGAATATAAATATTGTGTAGTATTGTATGATACTGAGCATTTAGTAAAATAATGGAATTCCAACAAAGATTTGGTTTTCTACGTGGAATAAGCAACCATGTTAATACAAGTAATAAAAACTACATAATAAATATATCTTTTGAGAAATATATAATCTGGCATAGTTGCCGGTCATATAAAAGCACACATATGATTTTGGAACAATTCTGTATATTTAGTGTAGCACATAAAATGCAGTTCGTGGATGAATATTGTTTTTTTCCCTTTTAGATGGAAATATACTATAGGGTCTTGAAATGTTTTAAATTTTACAAGCTGATGTGAAGATACATATTTGAGAGCAAACTTTTCGTCTTAAATTCAATACATTTTCAAAGAAATAATATTAACATTTGTATTTTTTATGCATAAATATGAATAGCATTTCTAAATTAAACATTTACGTGTACATATTGCTAAAATATAATAAGTTTTTACCGGCCTAAGAAAATTAATTTTTGTTTGTTTGTCAAATACGTACCATAGATGTATAAAATGTAACTACGATACCAACGCTGAGTATAGATCCCCACAGAGACAAACCAGTCACTACAATATATGGTATAGGTTCTTCAATTTCTGATTAACTTTGGAACAGCACATGTTTTAAAGACGAACGTTTTTCATTCATACATTTTTTGTAAAAAGGAAAGGTTGAGATATCAAAGGAAACGATTAACTATTGCATATTGTTATTGCGTGTACCAAGTCTGTCTTGTTTAAGAATTTGTATGGCTTCTTGTCTTTTTCCCATTTTTTCATTAACTAAGCAATATGATAAGTTTGTATAAAGTTATTTTGTCATCTGATTCTTACAACTGGTTATAGAAGCATTAGTATTTAATAAAAAAAATATACAATCACTTTCTTTTTTTGAGCAACAATCATTGTCATACAAATGTGTCAGTTTGTCAGCTGTTGGATTCTACTAGTATCTCAAAGAAAAAAAACTATTCTTAATATTATACTTAAAAGTGTTTCGTTTAAAAACAGGTGTTATTATCAACTGGTAAGTATAATTTGAAGGAGACTTCTAATAGTATCTGATTTGCAAGTAAATTAAATTTCAATGTTGATTTTATTTTCCAACAGAAAATACTGAACAAAATCTCATCACTATCTATAACACAACTTGCCTTGGTTCAATGCTAATGCTGGCGCATACAATACGACGGCCATGTATAAAAGCTGAAGAAAAAGAAAGATTATCAATCACCGAAAGAACAGTAGGGATATTCTGTTGTTAAAATATCTCATTTCAAACTTGACATGTCATATTTCCAAATTGCTATTTCTCATCTAAAAGCTGACAATTCTCAGTTTAAACTTGACATTAAAGTGGCAAGTCTACATTTCTTACTTCCAAGTTCGGGCTAAGAAATGTCACTTGGAAATGGGAAATGTCACTTTGAATTGAGAAATTTCAACTTGGAACTACAAAATGTAAACTTGGAAGTATTAAATGTCAACTTGGAAATGAGAAATGTTACCTTGGAAGTGAGAAGTGTCAAGTTGGAAATAAGTAATGTCAAAATGTAAAATAGATTTTAAAAATAGAATGGGTCTATCAGTCATTCGTATCATTCACTATATTATAAATCCCCTCGTCATAAAAACCACTATACCCGACTAATGGCAGATTATTTGTGGTCTCTGTTAATCCATTCACAACTTTTCTAGTTTATTAAACGTTTGACATATCTATACATTCGTTTATTGATAAAAGAAACACCAAATAGGAACGCGTTTCAATCGCCCAACAAGCTCCCACCAATTTGTGTTAAGCAATGAACACAATATTAAAATAAATTTTCAAAGACATGCACTCAACAGAGACACTATGAAATCACAACCGCTTCTCAAATAGGGGCTTCTCCTGGACATTTGATTCTTTTAAGGTTTGCGAACTAGCTAAGTATACTGTATACCTAATTTACGCAAGACACTTTTCTACATTTGATCTTCCTTGCCTTCCAGTCAGTTTTCTGCCTCTGAAGTTAGTAACCTTTGATTTTTTACCTTACAATTATAATATTGTTATATAGCCAATTAACATTTGTACAGGTAAACATCACTGCTCGTTTGAGCAACAAAAAAGTGGGAATGTACCAATGGGAGAGGGGTCAATACAAAAACCATGTGACAGAAAGACAGACAACATCATGGTCAAAGGAACAAACTCGAACAGATTAGCAACAGCCAATGAAACACCACAAAAAAACTTAACATTGAGCAACAATCACCCGCATGTTTAAATCTGCTAAGTTATCGTAAATGAACATGCTGAAATGCCAAAGCAGATTGAAAAGGTAATTGTCTCTTGTCTAACCCAAATACATTACCTAATTCATCAACTATCAATTCATATGAATTTACTAACCTTTAAATAGAAAAAGTTTGAAATGAAATTAAGATCTGTAGGGTGTGGTACAGATTAAAAACTAAGGCCAATAGATACAAAACAAATACTGAATCAGAGGCTGAATCATCTTCAACAATGGCCACTTTTTGGTAAAAATCCTCATGAAAGGGCAATAAGTCTATAAAGAGTTAAGTGACAATTTCAGCCATTTGACTTATGAGTATATCTTGTCTTGCTGATCACTTTTCCTTATTAAAGAATCTTTCTATCTATTATAGTTTTCAAAATAATCAGCAAAAATATAAAAAAAAATAAGGTAAAATTTTACATTTAAGGACAATAACTCAGATAAGAAATTGGCTGAAAGTTTTGACGTAAATGGACAGAAGTTAGATCTCAACATTATGAACATTTCTGTCTGTCAGATTTTCTCTATTCGTAGCGGTTTTCAAGATAATAGACAACACTTTATTTTAGCCATGTGGGCCATGTTTGTTCACAGGCGAGGACATCGGACACATTTTGAAACTCGATACCTTAATAGTGATTGTGGCCGAGTTCGGTTAGATTTGATCCAAACGTTTCATAGGAGAATAGTCTTGAGATATTTAATTTAATAAAAAAAAGCAAAAAAAAAATGGTAAAAATCGTCATTAATGAGCAATAACTCCAATAAGTAGTCGTCTGATGATTTCGGACCTGCGGACTGATTTGTAGAACTTGTCTTTCTGATCTTTTTCCCAATTAAAGTTTCCCTGTATCAATTATAGTTTTCAAAATAATAGGTCAAAATGGAAACATATGGTAAAATTTTACATTAATAACTCCAATAAGCTGACAGTTTTATCCAACGCAATCATAGGTTTGAACGTTGTTTTCAATTTAGACTTGTATATATATATATATATATATGAGACAGAAATATTGACTACTTTGGTCATCATCATGAGGGTTGCGCCAGTACAACCATCGATGACTTCACTTTTCAACTTGATTTAATAGATTCCTTGTTATCAGCAACCCTCTATCAAGTAAAATATGAAACGCAATTACTGAAATATTGTATCAACTGGCAGATATATATACTAAAGTGTATATACAAGTGATGCAGGAATGTTGCTACATCAAACATGAAAAGTTAACAGAGGGAAAAATTGTAAAGTTGAGTTTTAAACCCTTGTGATCTTCTTACATTTTTAAAAATATGTTGCTAATTCAAAAAATATTATATAGTGTCAAAATAAACAATCTACTCGATGGGCAATGTAAATAATATGCCTTTTTTTTTAATAATTATTACTAATGTTTGCAGTTCAATGACTGTGTACTTAATAAACAATATTTACCATTTCTAAAGCAAAAATTCCACCTGCCAGGTATCTTGTCGCTCTACAAAACCTCAACTCTAAATACTAAATTAAATACAATTAATACATAACAATAAAATGTATATTACAAACATGTTTGTATAGATTATCGGGTTTTCTACACATTGATATCGTTAAATATCAGCCGCGAGCCACAATGTGAACCTTTTTGGCGAGTGAGCGCAGCGAACGAGCAAAAAAGCTTTACATTGTGTCGGGCGGCTGATATTTTACGATATCTATACGAAGAAAACCCGATTATCTGTTTATTGTTCTATAACTGGTCGTTTTCCCCTCCCTAAGACAGTTTCACGTTTGACGAAAGGAAGCTTGATAACGTCTCCTCTCACATTGTGACGTCGCTGATAACTTCTCCTCAGACATTGTGACGTCGCTGATGATGCCTGATCTCGTCTCAAATCCTTGTTGAGAGAATTACGGAGCGACTGAGCAGGGTAACGGGAAGGACGATAAATGTAAATAAAAGTCACAACAAAAAAAATGTTAATTTTGATTCCGTTATCTTGAAAACGGTGTTTTCAATGTATGTTCCAATGTAAACATTTTCTTTTCTGCAAAATTATGATAAATGCAAAGAATTTAACTTTGACGAATCTTATATAATTACAATGTTAAACAAAGGGAATGAATGTCAAATGTAAATGGCACATCAAACAAACAACATGGCAAGGAAACGAACATTCGCATGTCAAATAAAATGTGGACGGAACTTCACTTACACAGTGATTTTTTAACAGAACATCGGATTCAATATTTATCGAAAATACTAATAACAAACTTACCTGGTACGCACTTGTTAATCCAAGATTGTGAAAAAATGGCAGAAAAACATAACACGTCGCAGGGTATGTAAGTAGACCAGAAAATCCAACTAAATAATATTGACTTCCAAACACATACATTTCTGTTGGTGTACCTAACACAGTGATAGCAGACATATAACTTGCTACCAATGACATTGCAACCGGAAATACCGGCATTTCTCTACCACCCATAAGAATGTCGTCTGATGAGGCCTCTTTTGCGCCCCATTTTTCTTTGAGTAAATAGTATACTCCTATGAGTCCAGAAACTATTAGTACTGCACCAAACAAACAATAGTCTAAAGCCGTAAAGGTGGCAGCCATATCGTATATATGAATATAGCAATAATTTAATTGGCTTTACGAATTTAGGACATACAACATCTATAAACCACTTTGCTATATTAAACGAATTACACGTGGCCTTTCATACTGGACATAACCTTCTACAAATAATTCTATTTCACAATCTTAAGCTGTGAAATAGATAAGGAGTATAGGAGATAGACCTTGATCGCAGAATAAACTTAAAGAGATTATCTATGCTATCTTAAACCCATGTTATATGTACTTTTACATGTACTTTCCAGTAAATCATACTGTGAAGTCAGAATAAAAAAGTATTTTTTCTAAAGTACGTGTTTACATAAAGTGAACAATTCAACTTTTAACAATAACGAAACAGTCTTTTACGTTGTTGTGAAAGGATAAATTCGGTGGTTACCTGTCAAAGACTAACAGATTGATGTGACCAGTAATTTATAAAGTATGCGAATATTATATACATACGTCCGGATTTTATCACCGGGTCATCATGAACAACAGCGTTTTTGTTGGCCCCCAAAAAAGAATGTCACCTGAAACTAGCAATTTAGGGTAAAATATTAGGTCTGAGGCAAATAAAAATCGATATCTTGACTTGATTCGATAACAGTGTTCTGTCCCCCTCATCCCCCCCCCCCCCCACCCCACCAAAAAAAAAAACAGTGATACGTATGGACCGAATGAACCCAGCTTTTTGTCTGACACAAAAACAACAACGTTTGTATGGGCCAAAAAAAAAAACGTTTTGTATGTCCCGAAAAATTAACCTGTAAGTAACCTGCTTATAATTTGTAAAACTTACATTTAAAAAGAAATAGACAAGCAGATTTAAAAGCTACAACTAGATATGTTTTTAAATTCAAATATATTTATTTTAAATAACACTTAACAATTAACAAACATGAATTTGAAACGTTACACAGGCAAATCTACGAAATATGATAAGATAATATAAAATAAGCAAAGTAGATCAGAAAATACGGTCGAATCCTCGATTTGAAAATACTTCATACCAAAATGTTATCAGATATACGAAATTCGAAAAATTGTATTCCAGAAGGCTCAGATGGAACTTGTATATTTATACAGGACACAATATAATGAGAATCTGATTGACCAGTATTTTCTAACTATCTCATGTACCTTACCACCAAAGCGTTGGTAGATACCCATGACAAATATGCCACTGTTCCCATACACACACAGTTATACAATACCGTTTTTCTGTCTTATAAATACACCGTACCTTCGAGTTTGGTATTGTGGAGAACATAATCATGTCTGTATGTTTTCTTCTGTAATACTGAAGTGCATTTGTCAGAATGGAAAGTCACCCACCTGTTACCAGTCACTCTCCCACCTAGCTGCTGCATCTAGATCAGACTTCGGAACATTGGTTATTTTTCCAGATCTGACGGTTTTGTAGTTACAAAGACCGGTCCGTTTGGAGTCAGAATAAACTGTCTGGGTTGAACAGGTACGTTAAAAATCAAACTATGCATGTCAAGTACAAAGCAGGGTTCATATTCGTATCACATTCACATCTTCTCGACCTTAAATGCATGTAACATTTGCCACTACGCGCCAAACACAAATCAACCATCATTGGTCATTATCACACAGGGAGACAAAATATTCCTTTCTTTCACACATAGTCTTTTAATTTTTACTCACAGTTTCATTTGTGTACATTGTTTTGTACTATTTTTAACATGCCATAAAGTTTTCATTAATGCTTGGAAATGGCGAAAAAGGCAATGATAGATTTTGGTAATTTTGAATATTGATCAAAAATAAAATGCTTCGCTGAGCGCAGCCAGATACGACCGCAGAGGTCTAACCCTGAACAGTTGGGGCAAGTTTGGACACAATATTCAAGCTTAATACTGTCTGAATTTAGATTGTGATAAAATTTTTGACATAATATAGGTTTCTAACACAAAATAAATGTGGTCAAAGATCTTAAAAATTTGAAATGGGACATTTAATTTACCTAGTATAGTCTGATATCCAAAATCTAACAACATGGTTAGATTCAGCATATATAACCACCAAAAAATTAATTTTAGTTGAAATCAAACAGAGTTTAATTTTAGACCCTTCAAATCTTAATATGGACTAATTTGAAAACAGGGCCCAAAATAATAAACAGCTGCGCCATGAGCGCATGATACGCCCGTCGCATTTTTTACGAATAAAGTTCAATAACTTCTCAATGTCATATTAGAAATTTGTGAAAAACTAAAGGGAGGTTATCTTAATTGATATAAACCAGTCACCAAAGTTTAATGAAAACTGCTCAAAGCACTTTAAAGGTATTGTCCGAAAACTAGAAAATCACCCCTTTTTATGAATAAAATCCCATAACTCGGAAGTGTAAAATCTAACATTTATAAAAATTGAAAGTGAGCTTGCATCAATAGATATAAACAATTCTCCAAAGTTTCATGAGAACTGCTGAAAGCAATTTTGACTTTTTGTCCGAAAAACTGGAAAATCCCCCCTTTTTTTAATGAATAAAACTCCATAACTCGGAAACATAAAATCGAAAATTTATAAAAATCAAAAGGGAGCTCATGTCAATAGATATAAACAATTGACCAAAGTTTCTTGCAAATTGGTGAAAGCATTTTTGAGTTATTGTCCGAAAACTGGAAAATCCCCCCTTTTTTAATGAATAAAACCCCATAACTCAGAAACGTAAAATCTAAATTTTATAGAAAAAGAGAAAGGGAGCTCACATCAATAGATATGAACAATTCACCAAAGTTTTATGCAAATTGGTTGAAGCATTTTTGAGTTAATGTCCGACATGTTGATGACTGACGGATGGACAACGGTATACCATAATACGTCCCATAAACGGGTGTATAAAAAATCTAAATGCACAATTCAGCATATCATACAACCATATAATTCAGTTTTTGATGAAATCAAACAAAGTTTAATTTTGGACCCTTTTGACCTCAATGTAGACCAATTTAAAAATGGGGCCCAATATCCAAAAAAGTAATACAAGGTTAGAACCCCCAAAAATTAAAGACTTTAAATTAATCCCCTTGAAATTGGTTAAAAAATTTGTATTTATTTTCAATTGAAGATTTCTTGCTATTGCGCAATACTGTGCAATTTAAGATTTCTTGCTATTTTGCAATACTGTGCAATTGAAGATTTCTTGCTATTGCGCAATACTGTGCTATTGCCCAATACTTTGTTGTTGCGCAATAATATGCTATTGCGCAATACTGTGCAATTGAAGATTTCTTGCTATTGCGCAATACTGTGCAATTGAAGATTTCTTGCTTTTGCCCAATACAGTGCAATTGAAGATTTCTTGCTATTGCTCAATACTGTGCTATTGCGCATTATTGTGCAATTGAAGATTTCTTACTATTGGGCAATACTGTGCAATTGAAGATTTCTTGCTATTGCGCAATACTGTGCAATTGAAGATGTCTTGCTATTGCGCAATACTGTGCAATTGAAGATTTCTTGCTATTGAGCAGAACCTTGTAGTACAATTTTAGAGAGATCCATACACTAAAACACAAGTTACTGTCTGGAAACTAGAAAAATGCTTGCTTTGGCCCCTTTTTTGGCCCTAATTCCTGAATCGTTGGGGCAATTACCCCCAAACTCAATGCCAGCATTCCCTTTCTGATATGGAACCTTGTGGTACAATTTCTGAGAGATCTATACACTAACACACAAGTTATTGTCCAGAAACCACAAAAATGCTTGTTTTTGGCCCCTAATTCTTAAACTGTTGGTACCATTAAACCCCCAAAATCAATTCCAACCTTCCTTTTGTGGTATTGAACCTTCTGGTAAAATTTCTTAGAGATGCATTCACTTAAACTAAAGTTATTGTCCAGAAACCAAATGTGACGCTGACACCATAGCATTATACGACGCAAAAAATTTTTGCGGTCATATAATAATTAATAATAACAAGGATATTACTGAGCTAATCCATCCTTGTAATGCATATTCATATCTGCCGACCTATAAGTTTGATCAGCTAAAGCAGGTTAATATGCATAATGCATGACAACCTTTTTCGTTCAAAATTTTGTGTTAAGATACAAAGTATTTAAATATTTCAACTCAAGCAGATATATTTTGATAATTTTTACATGGATTTAATTTAAAATTAAAACATCATTTTTTATCAACTGAGATGTCTTGTACAAAACTATGGGTTGTTTTTACAATGCATTGAGAATAATAAATACTAAGATCTATCAAATCAAGTCAAATGATGAAATGGGGTGAAAATATGGTAATTGTTTTTCAAAGCAGGAAATTTTGGAATCCCCTTGCAGGTGTCATGTCTAAAGGGGGAGGTTTCAAAGTTCAAAAGTAAATAAAATGCTCCGCAGGGCGCAGCTTGATACGACCGCAGAGGTCGAACCCTGAACAGTTGGGGCAAGTATGGACACAACATTCAAGCTTGATACAGCTCTGAATTTGGATTGTGATTAAATATTTGACACAGCATAGGTTTCTGACACAGAATGAATGTGGTCTAAGAACTTAAAAATTTTAAATTGGACATTCACCTATTATGGTCCAATATCCAAAATCTAAATACATGGTTAGATTCAGCATATCAAAGAACCCCAAGAATTCAATTTTTGATGAAATCAAACAAAGTTTAATTTTGGACCCTTTTGACCTCAATGTGGACAAAGTTGATAACGGGGCCCAAAAATCAAAAATCTAAATACATGGTTAGATTCAGCATATCAAAGAACCTCATATATTCAATTTTTGTTGAAATCAAACAAAGTTTAATTTTGGACCCCGATTTGGACCAACTTGAAAACTGGGCCCATAATCAAAAATCTAAATACATGTTTAGATTCAGCATATCAAAGAACCCTAAAAATTCAATTTTTGTTAAAATCAAACTAAGTTTAATTTTGGACCCTTTGGACCTTAATGTAGACCAATCTGAAAACGGAACCAAAAATTAAGAATCTAAATACACGGTTAGATTCGGCATATCAAAGAACCCCAATAATTCAATTTTTGATGAAATCAAACAAAGTTAAATTTTGGACCCTTTGGACCTCAATGTGGACCAATTTAAAAATGGGGCCCAAAATCCAAAAACTTAATACACGGTTAGATTCAGCATATTAAAGAACCCCAAGAATTCAAGAATAAAACCCCATTGAAATTGATCAAGAAATAAGCAATTTATACGAAGTATCTTCTTTTGCACAATACTGTGCAATTGAATATTTCTTGCTATTGCGCAATACTGTACAATTGACAATTTCTTGCTATTGGGCAATATTGTGCTATTGGATATTTCTTGCTATTGAGCAATACTGTGCAGTTGAAGATTTCTTGCTATTGCGCAATACTGTGCAATTGAAGATTTCTTGCTATTGTGCAATACTGTGCAATTGAAAATTTCTTGCTATTGCACAATACTTATTATATAATAATTTACACATCCTGTTTGGTGTGTATCTCCTACCATATCATTATTATTTGCTTTTAAATATTAATCAGAAATAACCAACTTAAAATGGAAAATTTTAAAAGAAAAAAAAAACAAAAAAAAACAAAAAACAAAAAAAACAAAAAATCCCCCCTCCAAAATTTTTTGAACCCCCTTATGATTCATCACCCCCAAACTCAAAACCAGCCTTCCCTTTGTGGTATGGTACCTTGCAGTACAATTTCAGAAATATCCACACTTACACACAAGTTATTGTCATGAAACTAGAAAAATGCTTGTTTTTTGCCCCTTTTTTTGCCCCTAATTCCTAAAATTTTGAGCTATTACCCCCAAAATCAATTACAGCCTTCCCTTTGTGATATGGAACCTTGTGGTACAATGTCAGAGAGATCCATAAACTTACACACAAGTTATTGTCTGGAAGTTACAAAAATGCTTATTTTTGGCCCCTAATTCCTTAACTGTTGGTACCATAACCCCCAAAATCAATCCCAACCTTCCTTTCGTGGTATTGAACCTTATGGTAAAATTTCATGGAGATCCATTCACTTAAACTAAAGTTAGAGTGCGAAAACTAATGTGTCTTTGGACGACGCCAGACGACGACGACAACGACGACGACGACGCCAACGTCATACCAATATACGACCAAAAAATTTTTAATTTTTGCGGTCTTATAAAAAGTACAACAAAATATCGAACTCCAAAGTAAATTAGAAAAGAGGGAGACCATAAAAACAGACAAAATAAAACATTGGAGTTTACAACCAACAGAGCGAATGGAAAAAAACTCTCATATTCGTGACTTGGTACATGCATTTTCTGAAGAAAATGGTTGGTTAACCCTGCTTTTATAGAAAAGAGGGAGTCTCTATTGCAAGCTGTTTTATTATTTATTTTAACTTCAAGATATCAAATAAACTTTATAGTTTATAAGATATCTCATATAATTTATAAGATATCACATATAGTTTTCTTTATAAGATATCATATAAAAATATTTATAAGATGTCTTAAAAATTATATGAGATATCTTATAAACTATATAGGATATCTAATAAATTATATAAGATATCTTATATAATTCAGTTTTTATAAGATATCTTATAAAGAAAATAATGTGAGATATCTTATAAATGAAAGAACCTTAGTGAGCGCGCTCACATACCCCACGTCCCCACAATGACTTGGAGAAATAAAATAAGTGTAAGAAAATTGTATCAGAAAAAAAAATTGAATCATAATTTCCTGTCAATATGCACATCTACATAGTATGTCCTTATTATCTGAAAAGGTTTCATGAAATTCTGTTGTGTGGTTTGAGAGGAGTTGCGATAACAAAAGGTTGCAGTAGTATATTGGGCAAATAAGTTCAAAGGGGCGTAACTCCTGGAAAAAAAATTGAATCGTAATTTCCTGTCGATATGCACATCTACATAGTATGTCCTTATTATCTGAAAAGGTTTCATGAAATTCTGTTGTGTGGTTTGAGAGGAGTTGCAATGACAAAAGGTTGCAGTAGTATATTGGGCAAATAAGTTCAAAGGGGCGTAACTCCTGGAAAAAAAATTGAATCGTAATTTCCTGTCGATATGCACATCTACGTAGTATGTCCTTATTATCTGAAAAGGTTTCATGAAATTCTGTTGTGTGGTTTGAGAGGAGTTGCGATGACAAAAGGTTGCAGTAGTATATTGGGCAAATAAGTTCAAAGGGGCGTAACTCCTGGAAAAAAAATTGAATCGTAATTTCCTGTCCATATGCACATCTACATAGTATGTCCTTATTATCTGAAAAGGTTTCATGAAATTCTGTTGTGTGGTTTGAGAGGAGTTGCAATGACAAAAGGTTGCAGTAGTATATTGGGCAAATAAGTTCAAAGGGGCGTAACTCCTGGAAAAAAAATTGAATCGTAATTTCCTGTCGATATGCACATCTACGTAGTATGTCCTTATTATCTGAAAAGGTTTCATGAAATTCTGTTGTGTGGTTTGAGAGGAGTTGCGATGACAAAAGGTTGCAGTAGTATATTGGGCAAATAAGTTCAAAGGGGCGTAACTCCTGGAAAAAAAATTGAATCGTAATTTCCTGTCCATATGCACATCTACATAGTATGTCCTTATTATCTGAAAAGGTTTCATGAAATTCTGTTGTGTGGTTTGAGAGGAGTTGCGATGACAAAAGGTTGCAGTAGTATATTGGGCAAATAAGTTCAAAGGGGCGTAACTCCTGGAAAAAAAATTGAATCGTAATTTCCTGTCGATATGCACATCTACATAGTATGTCCTTATTATCTGAAAAGGTTTCATGAAATTCTGTAATGTGGTTTGAGAGGAGTTGCGATGACAAACTGTTGCAGTAGTACATTAAAGTAAATAAGTTCAAAGGGGCGTAACTCCTAGAAAAAAAATTGAATCGCAATTTCCTGTCGATATGCACAACTACATAGTATGTCCTTATTATCTAAAAAGGTTTCGTGAAATTCTGTAGGGTGGTTTGAGAGGAGTTGCAATGACAAGAAGCAGGACTGACGGACGGACGGACTGACGGATGGACGGGTCAAAAACATTATACCCTCCGCAACCCGTTGCGTGGGGTATAATTATATGAGATATCTTATATAGTATATGAGATATCTCATATAATTTTCTTTATGAAATATCTTATAAATTTTATAAGATATCTATATCTTATAAACTTTAGAAAATATCTTATAAAGTATATTAGATATCTTATTAGAATTCAATTATATTAGATATCTTACATATTATATGAGATATCTTGAAGTTAAAATAAATAGTAAAACAGCTTGCCATAAGTCTCTGCCCTAGAACTGGTACTTGGGAGGTAAATAGTTGTCTCATTGACAATCATATCCCATCTCATTTATCCTTCATATCTATTTATAGTATAGAGGTACTGCAAGGAAAGCTCACAACATTATACTTCCACTGTGGCCACATAAAGCAAACGGAAAGTCAAAAATGTTGAAATAAAGTATACTTCCAAGTGATAATAAATATAAGAGTATTATATACTTATAAGAATCATTTATTGCACTCCGTATTTTGTCATGAACAATTTTAACTATAACAATAATGCGTAATATCGTAAAACTATATTATCAATTGATAAATTGGCCATTTACTGATACTGTCAATCATCAACAGCATGCTTCTTTTTAAAATCTTATCTTATTTTAAAGGCATTTTTTTATGACCAGTTTTGCTTCCAAAAAATCTACTATAACCAAACAAATCAGACAAAACAAATACAAACTATCAATTATACATTCTCCATAAAATAATGCACACCATGAATAAAGAATAAAAATCATTTTGACTAATAATATTAGTTGGAGATACAACATTGAGTGAGATGGTTATTCATCACCAAATCTATGTTGTCTTTGATTGTGAAAAAGTTTTATTTTGTCATTTTACAAATAAACTCTCAATGCTTCATTCTAAAAATGTTTAGCAGTAAATCAATTATTTAAAAACTTTAACCTGAACAAGTTTCAATCATTTCTTTCTTCTGAAGTTTGTATATCAAAACTGGGCTCCATAAACTTAATTTAGACTTAAAATTAGTAAACTTAATCCAGTCAGAACAGCTAAAGAAGAGTTATATTGGTTAGGGAAAATATTGCTGTCTAACACAATACATTAAAATACAGAAAATAAAGTAATAAAATATAAATGCATTAAGAAATAATTCTTACCAGCACAAAATATATACTTATTTAAAGGAATCATAAAGAGCTGCCATTAATTATTTACGATCATTGAGCAGTTCATTAAAATATTTTACATTTGATTTTGTTATGTTTTGATTGATGAACAGTTCAGCTTTATACACTCACATTTAAACCTTACTTCATTTTGTACAATATTTGAAAATAACAAACTTTCTAAACCTTGAGCAATCTACGTTTGATATATTGAACAGACACTTGTCCATGGTTTGAAGACCTTATGTTGATTTTTCCTGTTTTGGGCTATTTTATGTTGTTGACCAATACAACAACCAAACAGACAAGAACTTAAGTCAGTGTAGTTTATCAAGTACCATATAGAATATATAAAATTTTTCACAATTCATTAGTGTAATTATATTTCTCCTGTGTTTAACATATACCATATTATAATTAAATTCTGTGTTTAACAGATACCATATAGGTGTAATACCACCAATCATAGTACATCACATCCAGTTTCATACGAAAAAGGGTCGGAAAAAAATATTCCCTTGAATTTGACAGTTGTAGGAAGTTAACCCTGCATTTCATTGTAGAAAAAAAAAATCTGAGTCATTAACATATATCTTGGGTGTTTCAAAGCACCATTCTTTTTTTATTTGGTGTTTCTATAAAATATTTTTGGAAACTTGAGGTTACATGGTTACTAAAGCTCATTAACAGGAAAAAAAGGTGTGAACATTCGATTGGTTAACTTCCAGTGATGTTTATTATCTTTTATGCAATGAAATGTTATGTGAATGTTTGTCTGTAGTACTGGGCAGGATAAAACTTTACTCATGCCAAGTATGTCTTTATTTGAAACAAAGATAAATTCTGCACAATAGTTTGAAAAGTGCCAATTTAATAAAGACTAATAGGGGAAAATCAATGGTGGTATTACTCCTATAGGAATATAAGATTGAAATTATCATATTAGAGATCCATGGATGCAATACTATTTGCAGGATACTAATTTTCATGGGTATAGATGAACAACAAATTGTTAAAAAAAAAATACAAATTGTCTATAGACTTGTATGCTATTTATACAGTAAGAACCACAAAATTAATTATCCACAAAAAATACAATTTTTTATCAATCCACAAAATTTTTTATTTAATTTCTATAAACCAAAAACATATTAGAATGAATCCACAGTATAGAGTTTTCATATAAGAATATATCATATTATTTATTTTTAATGCCCTACTAAAATAATTTTAAAAATGGAAAAAACTAAATGAAAACTATAAAGTGTAATAAACAAAGGCAACAGTATTCATCAATATACTATTAAACCTAAAAAAAATACAATAAAAATATATGATGATGATGATGAAGACTAGATGAATTCTACAACGAACTTGTTTATCATTATAAATATTGATATTATCATTCTAATACATTGCTTACTTTTTTTTCTGGATAAAATTAATAGTCAGATTACATGTGTGTTATGTTTTTTTCAATATGGCAAGCTATTATCAACAAACTCTGAAAAGGATATATGTTTTAAACAAAAATGTGTTTATTGGACTAAATGATAAAACTACTGTAAATGCAATTTTTGCAGTGTTTTTGTAATTGCAAAAATTGTGACGGGATAGGTTGATATGCAAAAATTAAAACTTGCATCTAAAATTTTGAAAGAATTATGTGTGTAGCATTTCTAATAATCGTAAAAATTAATCTCACATTTTTTTTCTATCTAACAATTGCAATAGTATATACATGCTAAAATTTCTGAATTTACAGTTCTATATTTTAAGATAGATCACATCTCTTTCACATTTCATTAGTATGACCCTGTGTAACATTTCATTAGTATGACCCTGTGTGACATTTCATTAGTATGACCCTGCCTGATATAAATATACTGGCAAAAATAAACAAAGTATTATTACATAAATATTGAATCACAGCATACAAAATATAACAACTTTTTTTAACAAACATTCTGAGAGTATTGCATGGCAATACATAGTCTCCTACAAGTTAAAAAGGCATTGTACTGGAACAAAATGCTAACTTAATCGGTAATTTGTAATATTTTCTATATTAAAAAAACTAAGTCCAAATATCTCCTGGTGCAAATATTGAACACTAAATCTGTTTATAATAAAAATTTTAAAAAGTTTTTCTTGTGAATAAAGTTTCACAAAAGGAGTGGTATCAACAAGATTAATAGTCAGGTCAGCAGAAAAATCATCTGAACAGAACAAAATTCGAACTCGAGGACCATAACTATGCAAAGGAATCATTTGAACGGAACAAAATTCAAAACTGATCTGTAACTTGTCATGGTAAAACTATATACCAAATATCAAATCAATATATTCAAGCATGACAAAAAAAATGTGGAAAACTTATTACTTGAGTGAATTTTATAAGTGCAAGGACCATAACTTTTCACAGAATCATCAGACCGGAACAAATTCCAAACTGTATTTGTAACTGGTCATGATAAAACTATATATCAAATATTAAATCAATATCTTCAAGCACGAAGAAAAAAAGTGTGGAAAACCAATTTGCCAGACAGACAGTCAGAGATGGACAGAGTCCAAACCTGAAGTCCCCTTCGGCTTTGCCAGTAGGGGACTAATAATGAAATATCAAAACAAACTTCATATAATAATCATGAAGATTATGATGTAATAAAAAGCTGCATTGTCAAAGGAACCATCTGAGGCAGTTATGAGTGTGATAACAGTTTCTGTTTATATACAGGTCTAGTTATGGAAACATATAAATGTACTTAATGAACATTTTAAATGGAATTTTATCTTTTAAAATTACCTGCAAATCCCATTCACAAAAAGTTTCTCTCCATCTATTATAATTTTCAAGATAATGGGCAAAAGTTTAAAAAGTTGGTAAAATTCATCATTTAAGGTCTTATGGGTGTCTTTCGCCATCTTGGATTTTAAAATAGCAGAATAGCATTATTTCTAAAGGAATCTACATGATTTTTTTCAGTTTTATGTTATGGCAGGGAAAAACAAACGGTGACCTAATTTTTACTTTTGATATTCTGAAAGAATTTTCTAAGAGCTATCTTCTCGTATCTTATTTCACAATTCTATCATTTAGTTTACCTTCTATTCACATTATGATGTTTTTCCCTGTATAATCCATGCAAAATGCATCAAATTTTCACAATCAAAGCGTGAAAAAAAGCTAGGTGACCTATCAATTTTAATATATATTTGAACATATCACAATATATTCTACATTTTGGCGAAGCATTAACAAATTCTATCATTTTTTGTTCATACCCCCATACCACCTTAAGAGCAATAACTCCTATAAAAAGTCTTCTGACAGTCTGGGAATAAATGGACAACAGGTAGATCTCATCATTCCAAACATTTTTGCATGTGTCAGATTTTCTCTATTTATAGTGGTTTACAAGATAATAGACAAAACTTGCATTTTACCCCTATGTTTTATTTTTAGCCATGTCAGCCACCTTGGTTGGCAGGCTGGGCCATCGGACAAATATTTTTAAACTATATACCCCAATGATGATTGTGGCCAAGTTTGGTTAAATTTGGGATAAATAGTTTCAGAGAAGAAGATTTTTATAAAAGTTAACGACAACGGCCGACGACAGAGACGAATAATGAGAAAAACTCACTTAGGTGAGCTTAAAAATGGAGATGTTGTATTATTGGCATTGAGACACCCATCAAGTTAGTCAAAATATCAAAACTGAGATCAACTTTTAAAAACATTCATTAACATAAAAAAATGACAAGTATAACACATAAGATGATGTCATACTTAACCTTTCAATGGATAAAACAAGTTAAAATGTAGTTAAATGCTATTCTTACTTCAGCAACATAAATCAACTAAATATCTGTCTGCCTGCTCTTCTTGCTCTTTTTTCTTTAGTAGGAGTCAAAATATGGCAGAGCATAACACAATTTACCAACGTTTTTCAACTATTACCTAAGTTTTCTTTTTTGGGGGTAAAGGAGGCAAACTGTTATTTTGTTTCAATGGAGGGGGTGGGGCTCTAAAGGAGGGTGGTGGAGGGGGAGGTTTGTAAGAAGGAGGAGGAGGAATGTTACGAGTTGAACCATTGGAACCAGATTTGGTAGTGGACGAGGACAGACTTTGTGAAGGTAGTGTTTTGGTTGTTGCTTTCACTGGTAATGGAGGTGAATCAAAATTTGAATTTGTTGATGGACTCATATTACGTGGACATGATGTTGAACCAGGAGGAGGAGGTCTTCTTGGTGGTCTTGTTGGCATATGAGGGGGTTTCAGAGGAGGTTTTGATGGCATATTTTTGTTTTTAAACTGAGCATTAAGTGCGTTTGCTAGTTCATTGTTTTTTGAAAATTGCCAGCTCTGACTGGATTCTTCCTCTTTCTTCAATTCTTCAACTATGCTGCCCATTGACCTAGATGTCCGCAATTCTGAAGGTTGTGGTGGCAGTGGTCTTCGTGGCAGAGGTGGTGTTCTTGGTGCTAATGGACGATAACTTGGTTTTTCTCCAGTCTCAGTATTCAAAGTGGAATTAGAATGTCCTCTTACTGATCCTTTAATGACCTAAAACAATTAAATCATAATGTTCAAAATTGATAAATATACTAGCTAAAATGATAGACTAAAGAAAAAGACAACACACATGTATGATAAATACATTTAGCATCTACTGAATATTTTGATAGTATTTTCAAACTGTATTACATAAGTCAAACTCAGGATCCAGGACCTTGTCGTAAGATGGAATCACATAAGATCATCTTTCTCGTATGACTTTCCAGTGATTACTAAGATAAAGAACAGCAACATAAGTACAATACTTTTGATATATATTGTTTTCACTTTATATCTTAGGTCACATGCTCATCCATCCCTACCTCTTTTCAACTCATCAAAATAATCATTTACATCAAATGTTGTCATGTTATTTTAATTTTGGTATATGAGCAAGTGAATAACCAATATACAATGAATATAGTCCTTCAGACTCTAAATTGGTGAATTTTAGGCTAAACAAAGAAATTTGTATAGATCCATAATGTAAGTTGAGGTAATTTATTGGACTTTTTTCTTAAAACTGATCTCTTTGATCAAGCTGCTTTAATAAAAAGTGCAGTAAGTTTATAAATATGAAACCAGATATAGGTGATCAATTAATATATATTCATCTCTAGATACCTTTTGTGTTTTGTGAGTATGTTGTTTAGTTGCTGCCTCATTGAGGTATACCAAATATATCTCATTATTCCTGATAATTTTGTATTGACATTTCAATATGTATTCATTGACAATATTTAAATTCAATGATAAGAACATCATTTAAAATTAAAGCAATGAAAGAGTCAGCTGCACAGCAAAAGGCTTCTAAAGTGGTTGTAATCAATCAAGGTAAAAAATTTGTGACAAATAATATCAATTACATAACAACTGCACATCCATTCATCTAAAGGGAAGAAAATTATTATCTTATCTTAACATTAAACCAAAAGCAAATTATTAATTGTAAAAGTAGCCAAAGATCACATATTTCAAATACATTTAAAAGCACAACAAACTCTTGTACCAGTAGGAAGAAGTAGTCTACATATGAATATCTGAAAGTCCAAATAAATCTCAACCATTTGAAAGTAAAATATTAACTTTTATCATGCTAATAAGAAGTATGTCAACTACTTGTTTTTCATCATGACACAAATAAAAAAAAAACGCTTGAGGCCACCTAAATAACTTTTCATGAACTTGATTATCATTGACTTCATAATGTTTGTCCTGATGTTGATTACTTTGCAACTTATTGCCCTCTTATGGTTTGCTAGTAAAACAAAGTAAACTATCGTTTCTATCATAAAACACACATAAATACAATCATGAACCAAATAGCTTCATATTGTGCAGCTGATATTTTACAGAATCAGTATGAAGAAAACCTGATATTCTGTACTCTTATAATTATCTACCTTTAAGAAAGTGATGCACTCTAAAATTTCTGTTAACTCAATTAATATCACAACTTTTAAAATTAAATGGTAATTATAACAATATTAACATGATTAATCTAAATAAAAGAAGATATGAAATCAATATTTTGATGCACAAAGTTCAACAACAAAATTTTGACGAGTCATGATTAAAATTTTTGTCAAAATAACTAATTTAGTTAGGAAAACAATACATACAATAAGCTACAATGTTAGTTTACAAATATTGTCCACAAATATAGCTAGCATATTGTTTTAGTGATATATACATGGGAGGAGTAATTCTGGTGATGAAATAGCATTCTACTTTAACTAAAGTTTTTTTTCTTGAAAATTTATACAATATGAAAGCATGTAACCTTTACATTTTGCAAAAAGAGCGGAAACGATTTATGCTTATTATATGATCATCATTTGCTTTCATTTCATATAAATTTTCGAAAACACAACATTTAAATCTTATATTTCTAATCTTTCAATAAAGAATATACAAATTATCAACATTTTGAATCTAAATGTAAAACTTAAACACAAAGTTTAGGGAGAAATTGTCTAGTGAGATGAAAGCAGTATCAGTCCATGTGAAATCCATTTAACTTCATATAGCTGAAATTTGCAAAGAGAAGATGTTGATTGTAAAGTAAAAAGTTCATAAAATATTTATCAAATTTCAAAAATTCTATAAATATATATATTATGGGATAATCATTTATTGTTACATCTTTAAACCATTTATTAATAATTACAATATATAAAGTATCAACTATTTTTAAAAATTAACAAACAATTGTTAATTCTTAAATCAGCTTAGAACATTGTCATGAGATAAAAGCAAGTCAAATTTATTAAACACAACACAATAAGCAGTGAGGGTACTGCAAGGTTAAAGACACAATTCTTAATATCTAACACTTCTTTGTACTTTTTTAAACAGTATGCAACACTTCTTTACCTGTATGTTGTTGTCGGTTTTATTTTATGACAAACAGATGTATATACTTAGTATACAAGGTCCAAAACATCTTCTCAAAAGTTAGTTTTTTAGTGTGACTTGACTGTAAGTGTTACTCTCCACCTATTGCATTTCATTCAAAATTCTGACCCAACTGCAATTTGTTTTATCAAACCAACCTGTTCAACTGGTCAGAAATTTTAACCAACTGCTGTAGAAAACTAAAGTATGATAAAACAAATTGCAATTTATTCAGAATTTGAATTGAACTGCAATAGGTGGAGAGGAACACTTGCAGTCAAGTCACAGTAGCAAATAAATATCAAGTCAAAACTCAAAATTTGGATTTTGAAAATGAATGGTAATGAGTTTTGAGATTTTACAGAAGTGTTAAACTACATAATAAAGTGTATCAGAAGTGATAACATATTCCAGAATCCTGTGCAGTATATTGAACACACAACAGAAAACATTTGACCTTTTCATTGGTTTCCACAGGAATTTTACCATCACCATACCTAGCAATAACCTGACAAGGCCAAAATCTATGTATTATTTCATGCAGTAAAGAACAATATTCGTTATATCAACATGTATGTAATTATAACATCATTTTTTTTGGTAAATGTTGTTAAAAATGACAAAATTCTAAAAATAGCAACAACAACAAAAATGTGCTTTCTTTAAAAGATCTTTGAAAAATATTTCTTTTAGAAATACAAACTATTTTTTCTTGTACCTTCAATTAAGACCATAAGTTATTAATATTGCTGTAATGTCACATTAACTAAATAGGCCTAGGGATGTGTCATAAATTACCAAATTAAGTATATGAAGGTTAAATATGTCACTTTTGGTAAGGATATTTGTCTTGTTTGTACAATACAGGTTCTCCAGAGGAACATTTCTCACATCTAATCTAAACTTGTATTATGTTCTCCAATACAAACATATTTCCTTCAGAAAGGGAACAAGATACACTACCATGGGGCGATCAATATCCAAATCACAGAAAGGCAGACAACAAAAAGGTAAATAGAAAAAAACCAAACAGACAAACATTAGTCTATGAAAACTCTTTGTTGAAAACTAAAAATTAAAAGTTGTTCTACACAAATTAAACCACATTAAAATCCTGATTTTAATAAGGACCCCAGGAAGGGTTAGCAGTTTCTGCTCCACAAGAACACATTGTCATGTGTGGCTAGTAGGATTGCTATGTGATCAGAACCACAGCAACTGAAGTCTCAACCAATCCAAGAACCTATTGTCATGTGTGGGTACTAGGTTATCCATGTGATCAGAAACACAGTAACTGAAGTCTTGACCAATCCAAAAACCTATTGTCATGTGTGGGTACTAGGTTATCTATGTGATCAGAAACACAGTAACTGAAGTCTTGACCAATCCAAAAACCTATTGTCATGTGTGGGTACTAGGTTATCTATGTGATCAGAACCACAGTAACTGAAGTCTTGACCAATCCAAAAACCTATTGTCACATTTGGGTACTAGGACTGCTATGTGATCAGAACCACAGCAACTTAAGTCTCAACCAATCCAAGAACCTATTGTCATGTGTGGGTACTAGGTTATCCATGTGATCAGAAACACAGTAACTGAAGTCTTGACCAATCCAAAAACCTATTGTCATGTGTGGGAATTAGGTTATCTATGTGATCAGAAACACAGTAACTGAAGTCTTGACCAATCCAAAAACCTATTGTCACGTGTGGGTACTAGGACTGCTATGTGATCAGAACCACAGCAACTGAAGTCTCAACCAATCCAAGAACCTATTGTCATGTGTGGGTACTAGGTTATCCATGTGATCAGAAACACAGTAACTGAAGTCTTGACCAATCCAAAAACCTATTGTCATGTGTGGGTACTAGGTTATCCATGTGATCAGAACCACAGTAACTGAAGTCTCAACCAATCCAAGAACCTATTGTCATGTGTGGGTACTAGGACTGCTATGTGATCAGAACCATAGTAACTGAATTTTCCACCAATCCAAGAACCTATTGTCATGTGTGGGTACTAGGACTGCTATGTGATTAGAACCACAGTAACTCAAGCATCAACCAATCCAAGAACCTATTGTCATGTGTGGGTACTAGGATTGCTATGTGATCAGAACCACAGTAACTGAAGTCTTTACCAATCCAAGAACCTATTGTCATGTGTGGGTAGTAGGACTGCTATATGATCAGAACAACAGTAACTGAAGTCTCCACCAATCAAAGAACCTATTGTCATGTGTTGGTACTAGGACTGCTTTGTGATCAGAACCACAGTAACAACACTTCACACATAAGAACTTCTACCAGGTATGGGTTTTGCTCATTGTTGAAGGCCGTATGGTGACCTATAGTTGTTAACATCTATGTCATTTGGTCTTTGGTGGAGAGTTGCTTCATTCCACATCTTATTTTTATATTTGACAAGTATGATCTAATTTGTAAAGAGTTACACTATAGCTCATGTGGATTTTGCCATTATCATTCGACATTGGTGGCAGGCAGTGGGGTAAACTTTTAAGATATCCCTTTGGTCACCCTTTAGACTGGACATGTCATTTCAGTTTTTGTATCATGTGAATTGATTATACAATACCTTGCGAAAAGAAAAGCTATTGTATACAATATTTTAACAAAAAATTTATGTTAAATTTGAGTGAGCTTCCCAGTGAGCAGGTGGAGAAGGTAAACTCCATCTGAACTGTAGTGTATGCAATGTATGTAACATTGTGAGATGTGACAAATTTTTCAGCAGACATACGATAGATACCAAGTGATGACAACAGCTCATGTGACAGACTGCCAAGTAAGATATAACATATACAAACTCTGCAACAGACCTTTGCTTTAGCTACATATTCCTTCCTCCCTAAATTTGCAACCATATCTTTTGGTGGTTGAAATAAACATTCACCTGGTACTTCAAATTCATTAAATGAACTGGGAAGATTTCCCTATGAAATAAAATATAAAAAACTTTATTAATAACACAGTTGCAGCTTTTCTAAAAATCAGAAGCTAAAGTACATATCCATGGTATAAGGTATAATTTCAATGGCTAAAAGAAATACAGTTACAATACAATACAGTTTAAATACACTGAAAGTTTATTATTCTTAATTAGATACAAATGATAGATAAATGATTATTTCATAATTTATATACTTAACCTGACTCACAAAGTACATAAAATTTTTAAAACACAGACAATTGTTTGGTCAAAATAAAGTCCTTCAACTCCTAATCCTGAGGACAGCCCCACCCCCTTACATCACATCCTGGATCCATGCCTGTAATTTATTCAAAAGTGGATATTATTACAGTGTAACTATAAACAAAACTATTATACTGTCCATTGTTGATGTGGCATTGTCAGTGAATTCATTGTGGGTGGAAGTATGTCATTTGTATATAAAATGTAATGGCTGAACAGCTTTCTGTGTTTTTTGCCTTAACTAACAATAATCTCTAATGCTTTAATACCTTATAACCTTCCAGTTTAACTAGTGTTAAGTCCTGTATAGTGTTCACACTGATTCTACTGTGGATTTCTTCTTCAGCTATCTTGCCAGCATCTATTAACATATGTACGGCAGTTCTTATATCTCCTTGCCTGGCAAAACATACTGCTCTGTTAAACTGTATCTGCACGATTAAAAATAAAATATCTAAATACAGCAGAACTTGGTTGATGAGATCCTCTTTTCTTTGATAAATAAAAGTGTATTTGATCTCTCAAAATGTTTCTGCTCATATCCTCTGTTATTTTGTAGATTAACAGGTAAGTACAATGTAAGTTTTTTTTTTGTGATTTATTTTCTTAAATAAGGTTCTGTATTTTATAGTTTGATATTTCATTGTATCGTACTCATAGATGGAACAAATATTGGAATATTTGGTGGATAACATTAATACACGAAACCATGAATTTTAAAACATGGTCACGTACTTCAGCCCAAATGACTTTATGATACATTATACCAATTCAAGTGTCAGTTATATTATCAAAGACTGGAAATATTTTATAGAAATATGCCAAATTTAAAGGGTATGCATAACGTTAAGGGGTAAGCAAGGTAAAATAAGTTTTCAGGATATACTCATAATATTCTATTCCTAGATATTTCCTTTGAATGGCATTTTTACAGTTAGTAATTTGACATCATACCACAACAGCAAAACTTTATACCTCTTCAATAAAAAAGTTCCCTAGCACCATTAATAAGTATTTTGAAAGGTAAATATCATTTCCTTGAATTATTTTCTTACTTACCTCAAATTTATATAAAGTGAAATTCAATCCAAGCTGACTATACTTAATAAATGAAGATCCACGCAAACTTTGTTCTGCTTTGTCTAAATCATCAAGTGCCTCATTGTATCTACAATTACAAAAATATATGTATCACAGTTAAAATAAACAGCTGCACCAAGAGCATATGATACACCCTTATTATGCATATTGAAATTGTTGCAAGAATAAAATGGGATATTTAGAGGGCACTTAATCAGAAGCTTATCAAAAGGCTCTGCAGAAATTAATGCATGAAGATACCCTTAGACATATAAATATTTTGTTAAATATGATTGTCAAATGTCCAATGACTCTAAAATGACAAACCACAAAATTTTCAAATTAGAAAGCAAGTCTTTATTCATAAATCCCAACAACAGTGTTAAGTTTGAAGTAATTTGATCCAAGATTACTGGAGCTAGTGTATGACATTTCAAAAATGCCTTTTATTTATCTGAGGGTCAAAGTCCCATAACTCTGGAATGATAAATCTTATTTTTTTTTTAGATCGAATGGTTTGTTCTGTTCACCAATTCCAACAATAATGTAAGGTTTCCAGTAAATCAATCCAAGCAACCTCAAGTTATGCTAGAACATGTGAAAAATTAACTTAAATCTGACAACTAAAGTACTGTAACTCTGGATCAACAAACAAAAAAATTTTAAAAAATCAATTCCAACAATAATGTAGTTTTGAGGAAATTAATCCAGGCATGCTGGGGTTAGTGCGCTATATGTGAGTAGACCCTGGTTTATTATTGAAGAAAGTATGTTGACCTCTGGATGTCCTTGACCTCTCGATGTACTTTAAGGTTATTTGTGTCATTAAGTTGCTGTCTTATTGATATGTATATCTCATGTATCTTTTTCTTTCTACATTCATGCTATGATCAAGAAACCTTACAACTAACAAATTATGAAGACTAAATTGTACTGTAAAGCTTAACTTTTTGGATCTCAAACAAATTGAAAGCATAAATAGTGAGTTCAACTGCAACAGATATTGTCTTGAAATAATGTTAAATAATCATACCTTTTTGTTTTTAAGTACTGCACTGCTCTATGATAAAAAGCCACAGCTAAATGAGGATCCTTTTTTATTGCTTCTCCCAGATGCTGAAAGTTTGAAAATAAATGAAATTTGTATATTTAAAAAATCCAAAATTATAAAAAAATAAAATTATTAAATTATGAACATATATAATATAATGTTATTGAAACTGTATTGCATGATGTACTTGTAGGTTTGTATTCACCATACTAGATATTTCAATTATGTGCATTTCTGGCATAAGTCTGATGGAAAAACATGACTCAGTAAAACTCTACTGTTATCTTAATATTTTTTCGTTAAATAATAAAAAATTCTATAAATATACTTCTGAAAGTCACTCAAAGAAACTTACTTTAAATGATTTAAATATAAACAGCAATCACTGTCCTTTCCTAGATTTAAATATTTCAGTTTTACACGCGAAACTCTACACAAAAGTTTACAACTAAACGGATGATTTTTCTTAACCGATTGTTGATCTTTCTTTATTGGAAAATTAATGTTCCTTTGGCACCCTCTTACAGTGTTTATATATATCCCAACTCATTCACTATGTCCGTGTCTGAAGTGAAGTTGTGGATTTCAATGAACCTAATCTATGTATTATTGGTAAATTATTTAGTCAAGGATTTTGTTACCACAAATTACTTAAAACCTTTACTAAGTTCTTCCATAGATGCAAAGATATGGTTTGGAAAGTTAACTGTACCTGTAGAAAACTACTTATTGCAAATGGGATAGCACATCCTAATTTTTACAGTGTGTTTACCGAGCCCTTATATTTAGATACGATCCTATTAAACTTAAGTTTAATATGTCTTTTGATTGAGTTAAGCCATTTCAATTGATATTTTATAGTGTGTCTTTCTATGTTGTGATGTTACACTATTATTTCAGGTTAGGGTGAAGGTTGGCACCTGTTAAAATGTTTAAACCAGCTGCATTTGTTTGCACCTGTCCTAAGTCAGGAACCTGTTGTTCAGTGGTTGTCGTTTGTTGATGTGGTTCATCATGTTCATAAGTGATTCTCGTTTCTCGTTTTTTATATAGATTAGACCATTGGTTATCCTGTTTGAATGGTTTTACACTAGTCATTTTTGGGGCCCTTTACAGCTTGCTGTTCGGTGTGAGCCAAGGCTCCGTGTTGAAGGCCGTACTTTGACCTATAATGGTTTACTTTTAAAAATTGTGACTTGGATGGAGAGTTGTCTCATAGGCACTCATTCCAAATCTTCTTATATCTAATAAATACTTCCTTTATTGTTTTGTACATAAATCAGGTCTTTATTTTTCTTGTTTCTCATTGTTGAAGGCCGTACAGTGACCTATAGTTATTAACTTCTATATGTCATTTGGTCTCTCGTAGAGATTTGTCTCATTGGCAATCATACAACATCTTCTTATCTTCTTATTTTTATGTGAATAGACATGCTGTAATCTGTTGCCTTCTTAATAAGTTATGACTGTATGATGTGGTAAAAGATTTTGAGCTCCGGGTCTAGATCCTGCTATGAATATCAAAAAAGTTTTTAAAATCATGCCCATTGATTATGATAATTAAGTCAAGTCTGGGGTGAACCCTATACGACAAATACATGTTTGTCTTGTATGTACAGTCGTTTCATTTCCGTAGAGTAAATATAGATAACATATCATAGATAGTAACCGAGAAAATGAGCTCAATATGAAAATTTAACACAGATCAATGCATGATGAGGAGGTCCAGGTCAGATGAACTTTGTCAAACAGAAATCACCTTACAATGATTCAACTGATGTATTAATCAACCTTTTACTTATGACTAACTAACATATACATGATATAAATCATAAAAACTTAAAATTATCATGTACATTGTATCATAATGATACCATCTGTAATTGTTCAGAGGCGGATTTAGGGGGGAGGGTGCCCGCCCCACCCTTTTTTGTGGGAAAAATTTTGTTATTTAGGGAATCACTGAAGCATGACTCCGCAGGCCCCCTCTTATGGCAGTCAGTGCCCCCCTTATGAAAAGTTCTGGATTTGCCACTGTTGTTCACATCTTTGTCATTTGGTCTGTAGGGATAGTTGTTTAATTGGAAATCATATATCACATGTTGATATGAATCAGGCTAAGCATTAAGAGGGATTCAATTTCAGATTGAATAAAATAAATGACTTAATTAGTCCTATGTACAAAGATATTAGGTTCCAGTCTTAATACATGATATGAACGATGACGTACATGACAAAATAAATCAATTGATTTTTTTAAAAGTAAAAATGAAATCAGAGACTGATATAATTATATATAGATAAATATGTATAAGAAGATGTGGTATGAGTGCCAATGAGAAAACTCTCCATCCAAGTCACAATTTGTAAAAGTAAACCATTATAGGCCAAAGTACGGCCTTCAACACAGAGCCTTGGCTCACACGGAACAGCAAGCTATAAAGGGCCCCAAAATGTATATTTGTTTCTGGTTAGATATACTTATTTTTAGCAAACAAATTTCTTACATTTTTTTTAAAAATAATTATAAGCAGTAAACATGGTAAATGGAGTTGAAAGTTGAAAAAAATGTAAAAATAAAAAAAAGTTAAATATTTGGAATTTAACAAAACATTTAAACCATGATATCATTGCCAAAAAAAAAAATTACAGTAAACTGGGTGATGTTTATTTATTATTTGGTTGTTTTTTGTATGTAATTGGATATGGGGAAAACAGTCTCATGAAGACTGCTGCACACACATAATCTTGATAGCTTCTTAATAACCCTACTGATTACCAACTGGATAAGTTGCCAATCCTGGGTACTAAACGTATATGTGTCTCTGCTGTAACGCATAAAATTTTGCATTGCATTAAATGATTAGTATGACTGTGTCCATAATCACATCTTAGAAATTCATTAAGCAAGTAAAAAATTTGGACCAGACTATAAAGTGGTTTCACTCACAGACAAATAAAATTTCATGACCACTTACAAGACTTGCCTAATGGGTTATTTGAATAAAAAAAGTATTATTGCACTGAGGTGGGGTAAAGCAAAGTACACCAATCAATCAAATCAATCACTTAAGTTTGACAACACCTATCATACCTATTGTTCAATTTAATTGTTGTAGGACTTCAAAGGAAAGACGTTACAGGATATATTCATACAATGAACAATTCATGCAATGAACATCGTACAACTGTACCTATCATACCTATTGTTCAATATTATTGTTTTATGACTTCAGAGGAAAGAAGTTACAGGATGTATCCATACAATGAACAATGTGTGTGTACATGCACGTCGATAATTGTTTATGGTGTCCTTTTTATGTTAACCAGGTTAACATGGTTAAGTTACTGCATGTCTCATAATTTCAGTCATTTGTGTGTACCTATCTAAAGAATTCATACCACTATACAATCATTCTCTCTGCCAAGTCCTTTCAATACACAAGCTATATTGAACTGAATACGTGCACTGGGTTCAAGTATGTTGTTAAAACTAAGTAGGGAATCCTGGTATCGGTCCTCTTGGAAAGCAACAACGCCTTCGTTCCAACAACGAACTGTCTCTAAAAATGCCATGTTGATCTGTCAATTTCAAAAACTGGTCTTTCATTGAGATTAAGTCCGAACAAAAGTTGTTTCTAAATTGTAATGCATTTTAAAGAAATATCCGGCTAAGTGTGATACTTTACTAGGAAGTCCTGTTGCATTGAGAAGTTCCGAGTAAATCTGTTCGGAATCTTTTCCCGCGGTTTTTGACGTTCTTTATAAATAAAAGGAAAACAATCGTGAACCATAAAATGATATCAACAATTTTATTGACAGATTAGACTTAACTGAAAAAATACCATATAAATAAATCTTATTTAGATGGTTTTCTGATTTATAATGAATTTAAACAAAAAAGAAATTTTGCCAGTTTTTCTTATAGGTAATCATATGGCAAGCCGTTGTGGAATTTATTCCCTATTCATTAATATTAATAAAACACTTATTAATATTAAAAATTATTTTTTTTATATTAATAAATCGAATTTTTAATATATTAAAATATTTTTTTTATATTAAAAAATAATATTTAATATTAAAAAATAATATTTAATATTAAAAAACAATATTTAATATTAAAAAAATATATCCTATTTATTAATATTAAAAAATCATTTTTAATATTAATAAATCATTTTTTAATATTAAAGAATCATTTTCTAATATTAATAAATGGTCTAATTTTTTAATATTAAAAAATGAATATTTAACATTGAATATTCAGGTTGATTTTTTATTATTAAAAAATCATTTTCTAATATTAAAAAATACGCCACCTATATATAAGAGTTGTTTGAGTGCTTTTATATACGATGAGCATACGTCACTGCAAGCTTGTAGCTGAATTAGATTAGTGAAAAATAACAATGACAAAAATAACTCCGAAACACCTGCTCTTATCCTGCAATCAGCCAATTATTGTACAAATAACAAGTGCACAAATACATTTTTGTTTATTTGTTCTTGTTCAAATAAAGTCTCTTGTAACTCCACCTCCATATTGAGCAAACGGTAATGAGAATATTTCTTTTTGCGTGACAGTTCAATTTGGGATCCACTTCGCGGTCCGCGTTTAAACTATGTAGATTTCTTTGAAAAATGTTAAAAATCAGAGACTTGGATTTAAAAATCTAAACCTTAAAGCGCCGGGTGTAAATTGCAGGTTAAAAACAATAAATGTACATTGTCGGAAATATTAAATGTATGTGTACTCGCTACGAAACAGGAGAAAACCTCGGCGAGAGTTGCTTTTCGCACTGTTTCTTAATCTTGAACAAATACATTTTATATTTCAGTCCGACAATGTACATATATAATTTGAGAGATTGGTTCCAACCTGTACAATTTATTGTGTTAGTATATTTTGAAGTTGAAAAGTCAATTTAAATGATCTCTTTTCATTTATCACTACATTCTATTAAAATAAAAAGTGATGTAGGAAATGGTCTTTTTTGTATTGGTTTAAATGAAAGACATTTCTCCCCATGACTATGCAATCCTGGTGCTTTTGCAGTGACTAAATGTATACATAATTGCAATAATTTTATTTGCTTTTGGCCCTGTTGTCTTTCATTATGTTGTCTGATGGTATAGTTGACAGGCCAGTTTGATCCTATTTTGTTCAAATAAACTCAAGACATAATTAATACCAGAACACACCCACGACATCGAGGTTCTGTGACTGAATTAATGTACCTACGCCTTATTTTTAGCCTTGATATTAGTATTCGTATTGTCATCTGATAAAGTCATGCATGCTGATTATAAAGTGAACAGTTTTCTCTGCTTTAAAAATCTTTCTGTTTTGAACCCATCCTTGTTTTCTTACTACAACCGGAAACTACTTGTGACAATGATTGAATCTAGTAGTGTCAATCCCTGTATAATGGTGAAGTTCAATAATGAGAAAAATATATACCGTATAGTCGGCTATAAAAGCCCCGACATGAAAAATGAAACAATGTAACTGAGAAAACTAACGGCTTAATTTATAACAAAACAATTTACAAAAAAAAAAAATGACAGACATGAACCAACGACAAACACTGAACTACAGGTTCATGACTTGGACAGGCACATCGAGAATGTGGCGGTGTTAAACATTAAACATGTATGTGAGCGCTCAATCTCTCTAAACTTGGACAGCAGTATTACAACACAACATAAGAACAAACTATATAAACTGTCTTTTAATCAATTGTATTTGTATGATTGTCGTTATTATGGTGATAACGGTGTGTATCACAAACTATATTCAGCATCCACTTCACTGGTTTTTTTGGGTATAAATTAAGTTTTATAATAGATTTAAAAAACAAATCAGTTAAAAAAAAAATTTTGTGCAAATTCAGCAACATTTAAAGGATACTTTAATTTAAAATTTAACATTTAATCGTTTATAATCATTAAATAGTCCAAACTTCCTTTAAATACTTGTCTGGGTTGATATAAGATGGTCCGAGTTGACTTAATATAGTCGGTCCAAAATTTCTCCGAACCGACTTGTCCCATATTCATCATTAGAGCGTTTGGCAGATCATGATTAGTTTGCCTTATATTAAACGCTAAGGTAACACTGATGTTGATTTTTTTTTAATATTAAAAAATGATTTTTTAATAAAAAATCAGCATATTATTTAATATTAAAAATTCATTTATTAATATTAATAAATCTGACTGAATATTTGATATTAAAAAAATGATTTTTAGATATAATAAATGATTTCTTAATAAAAAAAAATCATTTATTAATATAAAAAAATGACAGATTTTTTAATATCAAAAATTCGATTTATTAATATTAAAAAATGATTTTGTAATATTAAAAAATCATTTTTCAATATTAATAAATGATTTTTCAATATTAATAAATGATTTTTTAATTTTTTGATATTACAAAATCTTTTTTTAATATTAATAAATCAGGAATAAATTCCACAACGGCTTGCCATATAATCACCAGCTGTAGGTACATGTAATAGCTAACTTGCCAATCATCAATGTTCTTCAACTTTTTAAATGATATTGTTTTCTAATTGTTTTGTTTAAAGTGCCAGTGGCCAGGATTATGTAGACGAGACGTGCGTCTGGCGTACCAAATTATAAGCCTGGTCTCTTTGATGAGTTTTTCTTGTACAAACTGATTGTGATAAAGCTATCAGTTTATGAATTTTGTTTCAAATGTTTCTCTTAGAATTAATAGACTTAAAGCTTATAACCCTATTGTTTTTGTTCCATCATTGCGTCGGGTTTTTTTTTGTGTGTGTGTTTTTTTTTGTGTTTTTTTTTTGTGGGGGGAGGGGATAACCATCGAATTTGAATTCGCTAATTTATTGAAGCATACTAACACTGCATTTCCACCGTTTTTCTACATTATAATTCTGTTACATGTAGTTCGTTTAGGATAATCATAGATATAATGGCTATTATATGCTTGAGGACAGGACCCTATGTTAACTTTACGTTCCGCTATATAGATGATGTTCTCTCACTAAATAATACAAAATTTGGTGACTATGTTGAACGAATCTATCCCATCGAACTAGAGATAAAGGATACTCCAGAAACAGTTAAGTCTGCCTCATATCTTGACTTACATCTAGAAATTGACAATGAGGGTCGGTTGAAAAAAAAACTTTACGACAAAAGAGATGATTTCAGCTTCCCAATTGTGAACTTTCTATTTCTATGTAGCAACATCCCAGCAGCGCCTGCATACGGAGTATATATCTCCCAATTGATACGATATTCCCGGGCTTGTATTTCCTATCATGATTTCCTTGATAGAGGATTGCTGCTCACAAGGAAGCTATTAAACCAAGAGTTCCAAATGGTGAAGTTGAAATCATCCTTTCGTAAATTTTACGGACGCCATCACGAGTTGGTTGACCGTTATGGAATAACTGTTTCACAGATGATATCGGATATGTTCCTTATGTCGTAACTACAATACCCTTCCGTTTTCACGAATGTGACCTACCGAATTAAACTATTTACCGGATTTGTAATAACATATTAAGCAATACGACGGGTGCCACATGTGGAGCAGAATCTGCTTACCCTTCCGGAGCACCTGAGATCACCCCCATTTTTGGTGGGGTTCGTGTTGCTTAGTCTTTAGTTTTCTATGTTGTGTCATCTGTACTATTATTTGTCTGTTTGTTTATTTTTGACCATGGCGTTGTCAGTTTGTTTTCGATCTAATATGAGTTTGACTGTCCCTCTGGTATCTTTCGTCCCTCTTTTGAGCCCCCAAAGTCCCTCCCCCTTTATTATCATAAATCCCCGATTTTCTCATATTTATTATTTATTTGTACCATATGTATACCAATATACCATATTTTTACTCTAAATATATATGTTTACTATCAACACTATAGAGCGAAACGATAGTCGAGTGGCACATTGATAGTTAAAATATATATTTAGAGTAAAAACATGGTATATTGGTATACATATGGTACAAATAAATGATATACAACAGGGCTCGACAATAACGCTTGTCCGATTGTCCGGTACCAGAGGTAAAAAGGGTCGGACAAGTAAAAGCGCAATAAAGCTTGTCCGATGGGACAAGTAAAATAATCTGTAGAAAATAATTTAAATCCAACTCTGATGATCAAACGAAATTAATAAACCAAAAAGAAAAAAAAAAGTATTAACAAATATTATTTAATTTGACCTGTGTACAGTTCCTTTTAAGTAGAGTGTATTTTTTCTTAATTTTTTTTCTGTCCCTTCCTCACTCATTTCTTAGTTTTGTTTGGATGGAAATGAAAGAAGAGAGGTAAAATAAACTTTTGGATGTTGTATTTTAACTGATTTTGATATGGAAAGAGTGATTAGGCCAGGTGCAAAAAGGTGATATTTACAATTTTCGGAACATCTCTTGACTTGTCCATAGGGGTATGGATGTGTATTGGCTAAATTTGTAAGATACTGGGGAGCAATCTTTCTGAATGTTGGATATATGTTTGGACAAGTACTGTACTTTACACACACAAAATATTTGACAAAAAGATTCGGTGCATTTTTTTTAATGAAACAAAACGTTATAAAGAACTAATAGAGAATTTAATTGTGGTCTGTGGCCTACTTGCGATCGATAATTTAAACTGTTTTCTCGTCAGATACTTTAATTGACATAGAAAAAAACACAT